AGGGTGGAAGGACCATACATAGTTAGCGCTTCATAATAAGTCAATCAATACACACCAGACACATCCAATTAAAATGTGTACTTGTGTTGGGATAATCAATCATGAAATAAGGGGAAGACGATTCTCGACCTGCTAACAGTTTTGCTGCTCCCAAAAAAAGAATGTCCCGACAACACTTGCACCCTGAAATCGAGCTTTAAGCTTAGGGTTTTTTCTTGAGTGGAAATGCCAAATATCCTGAGTGGAAGTAACCATGTGAGAGTTCCTCTCCACTCAAGTGTGTTTATTCAGTCATCAACTAATTTCCTGAAAATGTATTAACCAGAATTCCCTAGGAGGATTTTGTTTTCTTCTATAAACAGGAAATTGTCTCTGCCAAGACAATTGTCTCATGGTGTGTGTGTGTGTGTGTGTGTGTGTATGTGTCTGTTCACATGGCCCAATACCTGATTTCGACAAAAGCTGCAAGGGCACATGGGTCACCCTGCAATCAGCTCAACTGTGAAATTAACCAGAGGCAGCAGGCTAGGCATCCTCACTCTCTCTCAGTCATATTATGGAGAGAACACACCTCAGAAAGGAGGGGGAAACAATGTGTGCATGTGTTTGTGTGGGATAGAGAGAGATAGGCTAATGAGAGAGAGAGAACAAATGCGCAAGACTGTGTGTGTGTGTGTGTGTGTGTGTATGGGCTTTTGATCTGCTTCTAAGCTCAGCTGAAGCGTGAACTGTTGCTGATTTCTCATTAAAATCTCCATTATGAGAGTGGGGAGTGGAGGGGAGTGGAGGCTTTGCACAAGTGTGTGTGCGCGAGTGAATGTGTGTGCGAGGGTTTGTGTGTAGGCCTACCTGTTGTATGTGTGTGTGTGTGTGTGTGTGTGTGTGTGTCTGTGAGAAAGAAAGAACGAGACATTATTCTTATGATGCATATGTGACTCCTAATATGTATAATTATGTTTGTGTGTGTGGTTCCCCGTCTGCTGCAATCAGGCTCTGCCACTCTAAATTACTCAGATAAGGGGTGTGATTAGAGGGGTGCAGAAAGGGGTGTGTTTGTCTGCACCCGAGCCTCTGTCAGAATCAGCTTTCGTAGCCAACAATAAACCGTCAGGAAGGCAGTTGAGTGCAGGTAGTTGGCAGTTTGTGTGTGAACAACAAAAAATAGAGGAACCGGTCCAGAATAGACAGACTCCTACCCAAAATAAAGTGTCGGCCCATGCAGGCAGGGAGGCAGGCAGGCCTGGGGCTCAGTATATCCGTGTCTAATCCCATTACACAGTGTAGCCCGCTGCAGGCCAACGCTGAGACTGTTACAACACTAACACCAGGAGAGGAGAGGACCTGGCTGGGAAAAGTCAAAAATACATCAAAAGTAGCTGCATAAAACAGAGCTCAGTGGATAGAGGGAGGATGTCCAAAAAGCGAATCAGTGATGTAGCCTAAACATTGAGCTGCTCCTGAGGAAATGGGCATGCATAAAATCCCCATATAACACCTCTATGTGCAGTGGAGCAGTGGGCTGCAGCTTTAGAGAAGATAAACACAGCCATTCAGAGGAAACATTACCGGAAGAACAAGAGATGTAATGTCTAGGCTTGGGTCAAGGGTCTGCTCTGTCCTGTGCGGTTATCTGTCATAGGGATACCTGTCCTCAGTGGAAGTTAGAGAAGCTTAAGAGTTCTATGTTGTTGGTACTACTGAGAGATGAGGGCTGAAGACGGTTCGGCTGAGTACTGAGGCAGGGCAAGGAAGGACATGGCAGGGCAGGGATCCATATAGCTCTCAAACATTTGTCTCTGCAGGCCTGGGTTCTGCAGAGGCCTTAGCACCCCACCGAAAACACTTGAGGACATATGGATGGATATACAGGCAGATATCCATCCACCAAATGACTGACCTTAGTCTCTTTATCCCCCCTTCTCTCTCTCTGACACAGCCTTTAGCCTCTGCCAGAGAATGAGAGGATGAAGCAGGGATCATCTTTCACAGGATTGTACCACCACAGAGCGCTGATACAACTTGAATGCGTCCGTAATACAATCACAGCACCATTAAGAGGCAGAAGCTCCTACTGCTCTGACTGACAGAGAGAGGGAATACATGTGCTGCTGTGTTTCACACTACTATGAAGTCAAGCGACGGCTTGACTGAGTGGATCCAAGCAAGCATGAATGAGGGTAGTGAGAGCCAATTTAATTGTACACATTAAGCCTGCTCTGCTCCGTTTTGAATGTCGGAATCCAAAGGGTGTGTGTGTGTGTGTTTACTTTGCAGTTTTGCACAACAGATAAGTTCACCTCAAATCTCTCCACTCAGTGACCTCTGAACCCTCACCTGACCTAACCCTCAGGACATTGCGGGAGTTATTTTACACTGGCACAGTTTGAACCGGGCAATGGCCTGTGATGTCATCGGCGAAAGCGGGGAGGGAGGAGAGCCCTTCTCAAATCGAACAGTAACCTCAGTCATTTTGTCAACAAGGCAGCATGGTGCATCATCCAGAATCTATTTTCCATAAAATAAATGTTTTATTTTCAAACCACTTTTCATTGGGAAGGCAGATAAAGCGTATTTATCAAAAGCAATTCACTTTTGCATGGGAAAACACAGAATCTTACAAATTACTACACGTGATTAATTAAGTCACTTTTGGTTCCAAATCTAATGCAATCAACTTTCAGCCGGTGCAAGACACGCCTACAGGGGCGCCCAGGCAAGATTAATCGAACCCCCTCATTGAGCAGTTAAGAGTGATGATATCAGCACCATCTCAGCAGGTCCAATGAAAGGGTGTGAACTATGAAGTTGAACCTCTTGATTTCCCAAATTGTAAAGGTCATTTGATCAGTCACAACTGTGTGAATGATTGAGCGGATTTACAGAATGTGCTGTTGATGATTCACTCAAAGACAATGACAACACATCTGTCCCTTATGACAACACCAGATACATTACTGTCAGATAAAGTTAGTTCAGACAAGGGCTTCTTGTACTTTGCCAGGCCATTGCATTCCTCAATGTTATGGTCCATTCAATTCTGGTCTTCTCTGACAATTACATGACAAGTGACTAACCATGATGACAACACAGTATAGATCACAGCTAGTTACTTCCCTGTCGTAAAAAGAAGCAGAGATGCACTTGTAGTAACCACCGTGTGGCATCAACTCCCAAACCTTCACCAATTCGAATACACTTTGTTTGTTTCAGACTAATGTAAAGTAACGTTAGCTAAGTACAATACACTGGTTAGAGATCTGATTGGAAAGATGCGACAGCATGGAGATTTACAAACCTGGACCCTTTATCATCATATGAACATGTTTGGATCTCGCGACCGGAGCGCACGAGGGACTCACACACCCACTTGTCAAAGTGACTGCGAGCTAACTTTTAGCTGTCAAGCTAGTTATTAATTGGCAATAAGTACAACAAGCTAGTTAAATCAGGTATCTGCGTACTTCGGCTTCAATGCATCTGTCTTTTCTTACCTTACACGGAAATGGTAGAGTAGAGGCAACTTTTTCCATAGCCAAGTTCCTGATACTCGGGGTGAGAGGGCCTCGACAAGTCGGACAACAACTCAGCTTTTGACGACATTGGTTGCAAACTAGATGCCCAGCCTGGCATTGCAGAATCGGCGGCAGAACGTAGTCGAAACAAACCGGGCACTCGAACAAGGCTGTAAGTTCAGCAGATTGTCCAGGTAGCACTGCTGAGGGCAAGGCAACAACAGCGGCAGGTAGAGCCGAGACAGACCCAGCCACAGTTCCTACTCCAGCGGCTGCTGCGGCCGCGGCGGCGACAGCAGCTGCCGCGGCAGCAGCTCCTCCAGAACCTCCGTGCTTTCCTCCTCCTGCTTTCCCGGCACCGAGTCCTCCGCCCCCACCGCCCGCAGAGGACGGGTGGCTCATAGCGATTAGTTCAGTTCAGTTCTTTAGGATAAACCCAGCGCGAAGTTTGAAGCCCAGAACCCTGTTTACGCACTATTTGGGGTGGCAGACTCGGCTCCAAAAAATCTACAAGCCCACGGGGACAGAACATGGCGGCCTGTGTTTGACAGAAAGCAAGAGGCCCATTGGAGAGCATGGTTTGGACTGACAGCTTCTGCGCCAATTAGAAAGTGAGCCTGGGCGGTTATGTAACGTGCCCTTTCCTCTGCCCAGGCTTTGCTGACGCTTGCCAGATCTTACAACGCCTGAATAGGTATTTTACGTATCAGCTAACCACATCATATGTTATAGCAATCGGTCAGTCGCTGACAGTCGATGACGTGCCACGCAACCATTGGTTGATGCATGCAACGTCTGAGCAGGGGAACGCGACCGTAGTCATGGGGGTAATTGAACGTTGGGATCAGAGGTTTTTATACACTATATTTGTTACTTTACTATCAATGGTTTAAGACATTTAGAACACTGCACAATTTACTGGGCAGTTTGGAAGTACGGAACTCCAAGTTATTAATGTGCAATATCTGATTTTTGTATCATAGTAGCTGGATAAGGTTTGACAGGCCAGTCTCGGACAATTAAAAAAAAGCGCACAAGCCTACTGCTTTGATATTCAAGTGTATATTCCCAATACATTTTACAATTTAGTCATTTAGCAGACGCTCTTATCCAGAGCGATTTACAGTCAATAAAATTATAATCAGATTAGGGAGCCAATAGATTGAAGTCTCCCTCTATTGGCCACTAACTAGAACAAGTCTGAACTATGCCCAAATTGAAGTGTAAAACCCCTATTGTATTCACTCACATCATCTTGCTTTCTTCATTTGAAGTCCCATTATACCAGTTATAATAGGCTAGACAGTTAAGAGCATTGGGTCAGTAACCAAAAGGTCGCTGGTTTAAATCCCTGAGCAGACTAAGTGAAATCTGTCGATGAGCCCTTTGAGCATGGCACTTAACCCTAATTGCTCCTGTAAGTCGCTCTGTATAAGAGCGTCTGCTAAATTACTAATTTATTTTTACTAATTTCTTCACTTCTTTTGTCACAAAGATCTTTTTTATTTGTATGTACAAAAATTAGTGGCAAACAGGCATGACATGACACTACAGTTACTCATTTTACACAATGTGATGGGGGAATTGTAAACTGTCTGGCTAACCCCACAACTACCTTCTACAATATTTACAGCACACTCTTGCTTTCATCTAGCCTACTCTTCCCTGCGTTATCTTCTTATCCATGAGGTCATAATGCATCATAGTCGTCGTCGTCTTCGTGCTTCCTCTTCAGCGATTCGCTGGCCGAGTTCTGTGACACCATGTTGGTGGTGATGAGGATGTTCTTGGAGCCGATCAGGGAGGGATTGATGAGGACGTTTTGAACCGTTGGGGTGGATGGTGTGGCTGTTGGAAAACAAAGACATGATTTACTATGAACATTTTGAATTCACATTTTATTCACTGAATAAATGCTAAGACAATCCCCACAAACTACTGAATTGAAGCTTCCGAGAGACCTGAATTACTCTAATGATGTACAGTGCATTCAGAAAGTATTCATACCCCTTGAATTTTTCCACATTTTGTTGTGTTACAGCCCAAATTCAAATTTGATTAAATAGATGTTTTTTGGTCACACATCTACACACAATACCCCATCATTAAAAAGTCAAAACATGTTTAGAAATTTTAGCAAATTTATTGAAAATGAAATACAGAAATCTCATTTACGTAAGTATTCACACCCCTGAATCAATACATGTTAGAATCACCTTTAATATCTAAGGCACTGCATCGCAGTGCTAGCTGTGCCACTAGAGATCCTGGTTCGAGTCCAGGTTCTGTAGCAGCCGGCCGCAACCGGGAGAACCATGGGGCGGCCCACAAATTGTCCCAGCGTCGTCCAGGTTAGGGGAGGGTTTGGCCGGCAGGGATGTTCTTGTCCCATCGCGCACTAGCGACTCCTATGGCGGGCTGGGCGCAGTGCACGCTGACACGGTCGCCAGGTGTACGGCGTTTCCTCCGACACATTGGTGCGGCTGGCTTCCGGGTTAAGCGGGCATTGTGTCAAGAAGCAGTGCGGCTTGGTTGGGTTGTGTTTCGGAGGACACACAGCTCTCGACCTTCGCCTCTCCCGAGTCCGTACGGGAGTTGCAGCGATGGGACAAGACTAACTACCAATTGGATCCCACGAAAACATTTAAAAAAATTCACCTTTAGTAGCGATTACAGCTTTGAGTCTTTCTGGGCAAATCTAAGCGCTTTGCACACCTGGATTGTACAATATCTGCAACTGTAACTAAGCCACTCATGAACATTCAATGTCATCTTGGTAAGCAACTCCAGGGTAGATTTGGCCTTGTGTTTTAGGTTATCGTCCTGCTGAAAGGTGAATTTGTCTCCCAGTGTCTGTTGGAAAGCAGACAACCAGGTTCTGTTTCTTTTTATCCTAAAAAAAACTCCCTAGTCTTTGCCAATGACAAGCATACGTTTAACATGATGCAGCCACCACCATGCTTGAAAATATGAAGAGTGGTACTCCTTGATCTGTTGGATTTGCCCCAAACATAACACTTTGTATTCAGGACATAAAGTACATTTCTTTGCCACATTTTTAGCAGTTTTACTTTAGTGCCTTATTGCAAACAGGATGCATGTTTTGTAATATATTTTTATTCTGTACAGGCTTCCTTTTCACTCTGTCATTTAGGTTAGTATTGTGGAGTAACTACAATGTTCTTGATCCATCATCGGTTCTCCTATCAAAGCCATTAAACTCTGTAACTGTTTTAAAATCAACATTGGCCTCACAGTGAAATCCCTGAGTGGTTTCCTTCCTCTCTGTATCTTTGTAGTGACTGGGTGTATTGATACACCATCGAAAGTGTAATTAACTCTATCATGCTCAAAGGGATATTCAATGTCTGCTTTTAAAATTTTGCCCATCTACCAATAGGTGCCCTTCTTTGCGAGGCATTGGAAAACCTCCCTGGTCTTTGTGGTTGAATCTGTGTTTGACATTCACTGCTCAACTGAAGGACATTACAGATAATTGTATGTGTGGGGTTAAGAGACGAGGTAGTCATTCAAAAATCAGTCCATGCAACTTATATGACTTAAGCAAATTTACACTCCTGAACTTTAGGCTTGCCATAACAAATGGGTTGAATACTTATTGACAAGACATTTCAGCTTTTCATTTTTAATTAATTTGTAAAAATTTCCAAAAACATAATTCCACTTGGACATTATGGGGTAGTGTGTAAGACACATCTCTTTAAATTCAGGCTGTAACAACAAAATGTGGAAAAAGTCAAGGGGTGTGAATACTTTCTGAAGGCACTGTAAATACACTGAACAAAAATGTAAAAAGCAACATTTAAAGTGTTGGTCCCATGTTTAATGAGCTGCAATAAAAGATCCCAGAAATGTCCCATACGCACAACAAGCTTATTTCTCTCATTTTGTGCACAACTTTGTCTACATCCCGGTTAGTGAGCATTTCTCCGTTGCCAAGATAATCCATCCACCTGACAGGTGTGGCATATCAAGAAGCTGATTAAACAGCATGATCATTACACAGGTGCACCTTGTGCTGGGGACAATAAAAGGCCACTAAAATGTGCAGTTTTGTCACACAACACAATGCCACAGATGTCTCAAGTTGAGGGAGCGTGCAATTAGCATGCTGACTGCAGGAATGTCCACCAGAGCTGTTGCCAGAGAATTTAATGTACATTTCTCTACCATACATTTCAGAGAATTTGGCAGTACGTCCAACCTGCCTCACAACTGCAGATCACATGTAACCACGCCAGCCCAGGACCTCCACATCCGGTGTCTTCACCTGCAGGATCTTCTGAGACCAGCCACCCGGACAGCTGATGAAACTGGGTTTGCACAACTGAAAAATGTCTGCACAAACTGTCAGAAACTTCCTCAGGGAAGCTCATCTGCGTGCTCTTTGTCCTCACCAGGGTCTTGACCTGACTGCAGTTCGGCGTCATAACCAACTTCAGTGGGCAAATGCTCACCTTCAATGGCACGCTGGAGAAGTGTATGGATGAATCCCGGTTTCACCTGTAGCGGGCATATGGCAGACAGCGTGTTTGGCGTCGTGTGGGCGAGCGGTTTTGCTGATTTCAACATTGTGAACAGGGTGCCCCATGGTGGCGGTGGGGTTATGGTATGGCATAAGCTACGGACAACGAACACAATTGCATTTTATCGATGGCAATTTGAATGCACAGACATACCATGACGAGATCCTGAGGCCCATTGTCGTGCCATTCATTCGCCGCCATCACCTAATGTTTCAGCATGATAATGTATGGCCCCATGTCGCAAGGACCTGTACACAATTCCTGGAATCTGAAAATGTCCCAGTTCTTCCATGGCCTGCATACACACCAGACATGTCACCCATTGAGCATGTTTGGGATGCTCTGGATCGACAGCATGTTCCAGTTCCCGCCAATATCCAGCAACTTTGCACAGCCATTGAAGAGAAGTGGGACAACATTCCACAGGCCACAATCAACAGCCTGATCAACTCTATGCAAATGAGATGTGTCACGCTGCATGAGGCAAATGGTGGTCACACCAGATACTGACTGGTTTTCTGATCCCCTCCCCTACAAATCCATAGATTTGGGCCAAATTAATTTATTTCAATTAACTGATTTCCTTATATGAATTGTAACTCAGTAAAATCTTTGAAATTGTTGCATGTTGAATTGATGTTTTTGTTTAGTGTACATAGTGTAAACTTAATAGAACTACAGACTCGTTCACCAGCCGTCTGAAACCAGTAGAAATTAAGTATAGTCTCTTACAGGACTTGGAGGCTGCAGTCTGTGAGGATGGGATCTGAACGGTGAAGCGCTGCCCCGACAGAGACATTGGCGTCCCCACTTTGGTCGTGACTGATTGCACTGAGGGAGTGCCTGGAAGAAAGGAGTCAATGTTTTTGTAATGAAACAGAAAATACATCAGATATGGTAGCAACAGGGCTGCACACTAGAAGGCAAACCCACATCCCAATGTCAAATGTACGTGTTTGGGGCAATGTATTAGAAAAGCATGTAATACAATGAAGAGGTATGAGTGAAAAGTTAAGATTGCACTAAATGGTCCCTCACCAAAGGTAGGCGTGCTGGACCTGCTGGATACAGCTCCTACACTGAGACGAGGCACTGTTATTCTCCCAGCAGATAAGGACATCTGCACAGGAGAGGAACAGTCAGAAAGAGTCACAAAAGAGAACAGAATGGAATAGAATACAATAAAGATGAATTGCAAGTGCAGTAAAATCTGCAGATCATTGGTTACCTTTTTCTGTATGGATTTGAGCCTGTAGTTAGGAGCAGTCAGACAGTAACGGTCTGGGGGCAGGCGGGGCCCAGTGTATGGCTTAATCAAAGGCAGAGGGGTCTGGTTCTTCTGCCTAGCTACCTCCAGCAGGAACTACACAAACTCAACATAGTCAGGAGTTAGTATTGATAATTTTCTGAACACCTGAATAGGGAAATAATGATGTCGGTCTTGGCATTGCTACTCAATCTTACATCTCGTGGTGGTGGGGAGGTGAAGGACTGGTCCATTCGACTCTGGATCGCCAGTCTTATGTCGTCAGCATCCACATTGTTCTTCTTGGCATGTGTTGCATAGATTTTGGCATCCTCGATAATGGTTGTCACATATCCTGTAAAATTAAATTAGATTAAATGACTTAATTTTCTTGTAGTGCTCAGTGATTAACCGACATTTCGGTTATTTTTGGGGTTTGAAAAACGTATTAGTTCGTTTTTTTTCTGTGAGTGCAACGTGCAGTTTTATAGAGATAAATCAGATCAAGCCCGATCTGTGCGATGTAGTACGGAGTTGTAGTTTCCAACAGGCCAATATTATAAATAGTTTAGGGCTGAAGCTGTGGTAATGAACTACAATGACCATAATCCATTGCGCGCCTACTTGTCTGGTCTGAGACAGAGAGAAGAGAGGAAAAACAAGTGATCTAGAGGGATAGAGCACTCGGTTCGTGAGGTATCTTCTCTACCTGAAAATACATGTTATAAGATTAATAGTTGGTATTCAGCAGTCATAAAAGTATGCCGTATTTACTTTCAAGAACTACTAAAAGTGACTGTCAGACAGCATAGGCAGCAGCTCTATAGAGATGAGATGATGAAATAATAGTCATCAAATAGGCCTAAAACAAATGTAATACACACAACTGAAATATTTTATTAAAGTAAACTAATGTGAATAAATGATTGTTAATAAGTGATAAGCAGTAATGGGCATCACTACCATCATGGGACTTTTACTAATTGTTTTATTCTGTGTCATTACAGAATTCAACCCACATAATGCATAGTGCATTTAGTGTGTAAAAAACTATCAACACCGAAATCCATGTAAAAAAATAAGAATTTAAAAAAAGCCTAATCCCTCAGCACTATTGTCTTGGTACATTAACATTTGTGTCTTGTAGCTACTAATATGCAATATTGCACACAGAGCATAACTAACAAGAGAGAATTGAACGTTTACTTACTGTAGGTAAATTCCAGCATTTGATTAATCACTCTGGGCTCATACTCTGTTATCCCCATGTCTTTGAGGATTTGAATCATAACCTTTGCAAAGGAAGAATAAGAGAGCATAATAAGATAGAAAAGCAGTATACTGTGTCATCAATGTCAACATCAGCTTTAAAGTCCCTAGGGCAATTCAGACAGCTGACAGGATTTTTATAATGAACTATGTGTTTGTTTTAATTGACTGTGTTTTGTATCTTAAACATGTTCTTAATGTGTATATTGTCTATATTTATTTTTATCTAAACTTACCTGTTGTATGTGCTTATTTTTGTATTGTGCAGGGCTCATTTGTAAAATAGACAGTCTCAATAGGACTTCCTTGATTAAATAAAGGTAAATAAACTGCACTAGCTAGATAGTTAGTTTGTCCTGATAACTTTGCTTCCAAGATGGCGTAGCAGTGCGGTCGTGTATTCTGTTGTGTCCTCGTGTAAATAGCCAGTTTTTTTGTATTTCTTCATATATATTTCTCTATCTCACTTTTCCATCCTTTAACTAAATATACTTTCCTGCAACCCGCCTCACCCAATGTGGAACGGATTCTATTATTTCTTTATACCTTTTATCAAGAACCTCTGGCTGAAACTAGCCAGCTAGCCAGCTACTTGCTATTAGCCACCGTTAGCGGTCTTCACCATTGTCCGTGGCCTGCACTACCTACCAGCCAGCTCTAGCCTGGACAATTATCGGCCAGTCTGCACAGCGTGCTATTGACCCAGAGCATATCGGATTTTCTGCCGGAATCACTGAATCACTGGACCTTAACACCGGATCATCGCAACTAGCTAGCTGCAACCGAATGGCTGTTGTTGTTCTTGGCTAAATCACCCATGTCCTCCCGAGTGGCGCAGTGGTCTAAGGCTCTGCATCGCAGTGCTAGCTGTGCCACTAGAGATCCTGGTTCGAATCCAGGCTCTGTCGTAGTCGGCCGCGACCGGGAGACCCATGGGGTGGCGCACAATTGGCCCAGCGTTGTCCAGGGTAGGGTAGGGAATGGCTGGCAGGGATGTAGCTTAGTCGGTAGAGCATGGCGTTTGCACTCACTAACTGTAAGTCGCTCTGGATAAGAGCGTCTGCTAAATGACTAAAATGTAATGTCCGAAGCGTGCACCAGTTAGCCTTGAGCTAGCCTTGAGCCAGGCCCATCTACCTCTCTGTCAACCGGACAGGACCTCCTAGTGTTGACACGGAGCCCTGCCGATCCATCACGACTGGTCTGCCGACGTAAATTGTCTGATGTGGTTTCAACAGGCTTCCCGTTGCGACGACCACGAAGATCCATCTGCTAGCCCCAGCCCGCTAGCACACGCAATCAAACAGCCGTGCCTCCTGCTCGCCTGTGCTGTAGCAGCCACCGAACTGCTCCCGGACTCACCTATTGCTGTTCACTGGACCTTATGATCACTCAGCTACACAGCTGATGCCTGCTGGATGTTCCTTTACACGGTACCCCATCCTGTTTAGCCTCAGCCCAAACTTCCGTCGCCATTACCAGTTGTTGTCTTAGCCCTCTCGAATAACACCTGTGATTGCGTTATGCCTCTCTCCCATGTCAATATGCCTTGCCTATTGCTGTTTGGGTTAGTTCTTATTGTACTATTTCACTGTAGAGCCCCCAGTCCCGCTCAACCTGCCTCAGATAACTACTTTGTCCCACCCCCCATACACGCGGAGACCGGCTCAATCGGTGCCTCCAGTGATGCTATCTCTTTCATCGTTACCCAATGCTTAGGTTTACCTCCACTGTACTCATATCCTTCCATATCCTTGTCTGTACATAATGCCCTGAATATTCTACAACGCCCGGAAATCTGCCCCTTTTATTCTCTGTACCCAACGCACTAGAAGACCAGTTCTTAAAGCCTTTAGCCGTATCCTTATTCTATTCCTCCTCTGTTCCTCTGGTGATGTAGAGGTTAACCCCTGTAGCCCCCATTATCACTCCTACTCCCCAGGCGCTATCATTTGTTGACTTCTGTAACCATAAAAGCTTTGGTTTCTTGCATGTTAACACCAGAAGTCTCCTCCCTAAGTTTTAGTTATTCACTGCGTTAGCACACTCTGCCAACCCTGATGTTCTAGCAGTGTCTGAATCCTGGCTTAGGAAGGCCACCAAAAATTCAGAAATGTCCATCCCGAACTACAACATTTTCCGTCTAGATAGAACTGCCAAAGGGGGCAGAGGTGCAATCTACTGTAGAGATAGCCTGCAGAGCTCTATCATACTATCCAGGTCTGTGCCCAAACAGTTTGAGATTCTACTTCTAAAAATCCACCTTTCCAGAAATAAGTCTCTCACTGTTGCCGCTTGCTACAGAACCCCCTCAGCCCCCAGTTGTGCCCTGGACACCATATGTGAATTGCTTGCCCCCCATCTATCCTCAGAGTTCGTACTGCTTGGTGACCTAAACTGGGATATGCTTAACACCCCAGCAGTCCTACAATCTAAACTAGATGCCCTCAATCTCACACAAATTATCAAGGAACCTACCAGGTACAACCCTAAATCCGTAAACATGGGCACCCTCATAGATATCATCCTGACTAATTTACCCTCTAAATACACCTCCGCTGTCTACAACCAGGATCTCAGCGATCACTGCCTCATTGCCTGCATCCGTAATGGGTTCGCGGTCAAACGACCATCCCTCATCACTGTCAAACGCTCCCTAAAACACTTCAGCAAGCAGGCCTTTCTAATTGACCTGGCCCGGGTATCCTGGATGGATATTGACCTCATTCTGTCAGAGGAGGATGCCTGGATGTTCTTTAAAAGTGCTTTCCTCTGCATCTTAAATAAGCATGCCCCATTCAAAAAATGCAGAACTAAGAACATATATATAGCCCCTGGTTCACCCCAGACTTGACTGCCCTTGACCAGCACAAAAACATCCTGTGGCGTACTGCATTAGCATCGAACAGCCCCCACGATATGCAACTTTTCAGGGAAGTCAGGAACCAATATACACAATCAATTAGGAAAGCAAAGGTTAGCTTTTTCGAACAGCCCCCCCCCCCCCCCCCCCCGCTTCTCCTTCACCCAAATTCAGATAGCTGATGTTCTGAAAGAGCTGCAACATCTGGACCCCTACAAATCAGCTGGGCTAGACAATCTGGACCCTTTCTTTCTAAAATTAGCCGCCGAAATTGTCGCAAACCCTATTACTAGCCTGTTCAATCTCTCTTTCATATCGTCTTAGATCCCCAGAGATTGGAAAGCTGCCGCGGTCTTCCCCCTCTTCAAAGGGGGTGACACTCTAGATCCAAACTGTTACAGACCTATATCCATCCTGCTCTGCCTTTCGAAAGTATTTGAAAGCCAAGTTAACAAACAGATCACCGACCATTTCGAATCCCACCGTACCTTCTCCGCTATGCAATCTGGTTTCCGATCTGGTCATGGGTGCACCTCAGCCACGCTCAAGGTCCTAAACTATATAATAACAGCGATCGATAAAAGACAGTACTGTGCAGCCGTCTTCATCGACCTGGCCAAGGCTTTTGACTCTGTCAATCACCGCATTCTTATTGGCAGACTAAATAGCCTTGGTTTCACAAATGACTGCCTCGCCTGGTTCACCAACTACTTCTCAGATAGAGTTCAATGTGTCAAATCGGAGGGCCTGTTGTCTGGACCTCTGGCAGTCTCTATGGGGGTGCCACAGGGTTCAATTCTCAGGCCGACTCTATTCTCTGTGTATATCAATGATGTCGCTCTTGCTGCTGGTGACTCTCAGATCTACCTCTACGCAGACGACACCATTTTGTATACATCTGGCCCTTCATTGGACACTGTTAACAATCCTCCAAACGAGCTTCAATGCCATACAACATTCCTTCCGTAGCCTCCAACTGCTCTTAAATGCTAGTAAAACTAAATGCATGCTCTTCAATCGAACGCTGCTTGCACCCACCCGCCCGACTAGAATCACTACTCTCGACGGGTCTGACTTAAAATATGTGGACAACTACAAATACCTAGGTGTCTGGTTAGACCGTAAACTCTCCTTCCAGACTCACATTAAGCCTCTCCAATCCAAAGTTAAATCTAGAATCGGCTTCCTATTTCGCAACAAAGCCTCCTTCACTCATGCTGCTAAACATGCCCTCGTAAAACTGACTATCCTACCGATCGTTTTACATTACATTAGTCATTTAGCAGACGCTCTTATCCAGAGCGACTTACAGTTAGTGAGTGCATAAATTTTTTTTTGTCATACTTTTTTCATACTGAGAATCGAACCCACAACCCTGGTGTTTCAAGCTCCATGCTCTACCAACTGAGCTACACGGGACTACATCCTTGACTTCAGCGATGTCATTTACAAAATAGCTTCCAACACTACTCAGCAAATTGGATGTAGTCTATCACAGTGCCATCCGTTTTGTCACCAAAGCCCCATATACTACCCACCATTGTGACCTGTACGCTCTCGTTGGCTGGGCCTCACTACATACTCGTTGCCAAACCCACTGGCTCTAGGTCATCTATAAATCACTTCTAGGCAAATCCTGCCTTATCTTAGCTCATTGGTCACCATCACAACACCCACCCGTAGTATGCGTTCCAGCAGGTATATCTCACTGGTCATCCCCAAAGCCAACACCTCCTTTGGCCTCCATTCCTTCCAGTTCTCTGCTGCAAATGACTGGAACGAACTGCAACAATCTCTGAAGCTGGAGACACTTATCTCCCTCACTAACTTTAAGCATCAGTTGTCAGAGCAGCTTACCGATCACTGCACCTGTACACAGCCCATCTGTAATTAGTCCACCCAACTACCTCATCCTTATATTGTTATTTACATAGTTATTTATTTTGCTCACTTGCACCCCAGTATCTCTATTTGCACATCAACTTCTGCACATCTATCACTCCAGTGTTAATACTAAATGTAATTATTTTGCACTATGGCCAATTTATTGCCTTACCTCCATAACTTACTACATTTGCACACACTGTATATATATTTTCTATTGTGTTATTGACTGTACGTTTTGTTTATTCCATATGTAACTCTGTGTTGTTGTTGTTTTTAATCGCACTGCTTTGCTTTTATCTTGGCCATGTCGCAGTTGTAAATGAGAACTTGTTCTCAACTGGCTTACCTGGTTAAATAAAGGTTAAATACAACAAATAAAAAATAACAAGTTAACGTTAACTAGCTAGTTACCATTTCCAGCAATACAATAGGCAAGTAGATGCATTATGCAAAAGCATCCAAATAGAATGATATGGAGTTATATTTCTGGACAGCACCCTCTACAAATGCACTTTGAAAAATAAATACTTCTGTTCTAGTTCTAACGTTAGCTAGCTTAAAGAGAAATAACTGCCTAGCTACCTAGCTTGCAAGCTAACGTTACCTAGCGAGATTTTGAGCTGACAATCCAGCAAAAATCTACTTAGAAACTTCAGACAAAGCCACAATAGATATTTAACTAAACACCCATCAACACTGTGAACGATTGAGACTATGACATTTCACAAATCTTAACTAGGCGGTTAATTCCTACCTGTGCATCTTTAGGAACAGTTTTCGGAGAAGCCATTTTAACGTTTGCTCCTTTCCCGCGCATCCACTTCCGCACTAAGCTTCTTCTTCTTCTTCGATGAGATTTAACGGCGGTTGGCATCTAATAAATGCTGCATTACCGCCACCTACTAGACTGGAGTATAACTCCCTTATACTTCGCTTTAAAACAATTAATAATAGTACCAATAATAATAATACTAATACCCTACCACCTAACACTACACTCACAAAACATCAACAAATTATAATAAATATCATACTCCACTATTTAAATCTATTTAGTCCTACTTCAGGCCAACAGCCTGAAAGGATGGGACACCGCCACTTAACACACCCTGTAACTCTGATGTCAAGTCTCGCACACCACAACCTCTATTTTCTGCGACTTACGTTCCATCCCTGCAGTACAGTTGATAACCATTGCTATAAATGCCAAAAATCCAATCTTACTGAAACATGTATATCACTTGTTGGTTTATCCCTCTGTACTTGGTACAGATCTACTACTCACACCATTCCTCTCAGGATCCCTCCCCCTTGACCCATCTTTCTCTACTTTCTTCATTGCCTCAGCATATGACTTCTGCACTACTCTAACCCTGGAAACCTCAACCTGCCTCTCACACCGGACATTTCGGATCCCCAACCCCATGGGCACCCCTACAATTAACACATACCACTACTTTCCCCAATGCTACACATTCCTTTGTCTCATGCCCTTCTGCACACTTCTCACACCTAGGAACCTGCTGCCACATGCCCATAAGCTTGACACCTGTAACAACATAATGTACTCAGCACAAAAGCTCGTACAGGATAACTTATATATCCTAACATCACTTTGTCGGGCAAAGACTCAACATCAAACCCAAAAGAACAGACAATGACACTTTTGTTTCTCCACTCATTCCACACTAAGCTCTAGGTTGAAGATGGGATATGTTCCTTCTTCTTCTTTGGTATTATGGCGGTCTGCAAACAGATGTTATAGGTGCACCTACTGTATTGACTGTGTATCAGCCTAGTATTCTGTAGTATGATTTCATTACACTTTGTGAAAGAAGTGCCCTACCAACTAACCCTACAACCATTAAAACCTCACCACTATTCCACTACTTTGGCTCTATCTGATCCTACACCAGGCCAGCAGCCTGACAACACATATCAATCAGCCAGAAGGCAAGGATCCATTCTCTCCAAAAATCTCACTCCCACCTGGCCAAAAATCATCTTTATCAGCATTGGGATGAGGCTCAAACTCGGCTTCACTGCAGTTAATTACATTTTAAATTTTAGTCATTTAGCAGACGCTCTTATCCAGAGCGACTTACAGTTAGTGAGTGCATACATTTTCATACTGGCCCCCCGTGGGAAACGAACCCACAACCCTGGCGTTGCAAGCGCCATGCTCTACCAACTGAGCTACTCTCACCCTCACTCTCGTCATGTTCAATTTTCTTCTGCAGCATTCCATATTTACTCTTAATATATTCCACTTTCTTTTTGTTGTTGTTGCCAACCTTCTTATCGACCTCAAGGTTCCCTTGAGTCCATCTCCAAATCCGACAACCATTCGGGCATAGGCCTACCCGCCATATTGTCCCAAAAACGTGTCCCTTCAGGACAAAAACTTCACAAGACATTTGTTTGCGCTACCTCATGCCTGAGTTCCAAATCACTTCCAACCACAATGGGATATTTTGAACCTAGACTAAGCTAAAATGTGCATAGTCCAGCCTCCCTCTGGTTCACAGCGTTCATGACACCTACACCTACAAAAGCAAACTACAAATTTACTGTGAATGCATTGCTCTAATAAAATATAAAGCTATTCTATGTTGCAAAAATATTAATCAAGCTGTGGTGAATTTGAAAGTGTAATGAATGAAATTTCACTAGGTGGCGCTGTGTAACTTGAGGTTCATTTAGCTGGCCTTCAACAATCATCAAAGAATAATTAACGTGGTTTGTAAACAAATGACTGCTAGCTACCTACAAATTGATACCTAGCTTTTTAAAGTACATTTTCTGTCATGTATGTGTGACGAGTCAACGTAGGGATTTTGTTTTGTTGTATTATTAAGTAAGCAAGCATCCTGTAGGAAAGCAAAGTTCCACTACATACTCAATCATGACATTTTAATTTACAGCTAGCTAGCTACTGTTTTAATGTGGTAACGTTAAAGACTAGGAGTCACATTCGAGCCAAGTGAGTAGGATGTTCTTTGGCTGCTGGTACGTTTATCTCAACAATAGTGAATCACAACCATTTGAAATGCTGATGTTTGACAGTCTGAGCCCACAGTATGTGTGTTGATGTCAAGGTATTTATACTGTTGGACCTTGCTGCTTTTAGCAACGCTAGTATTTACACTAGCGTTGCTAGGAATTAACGTTAGAAGGCAAAAAAAAAAGTATTGCCCGACAGAAGCCAGAAGTTAAATACAATTCAATTTCAACTTACTCTGCCGATTGTCCGTAGGGTTGGTCCTTATGCAAAAAAATAATAATACATCTAATAGAACATAAATGAAAGACTTTCCAAACGTGGGTCTGTTGTAGACCCAATTCCTCTCCATTTACCTCATGTCAAAATAAAAGTCCTACACGTGCGCAATACCTGCACACACAAAAAAAGTACTTGTGGGGACTTTTATTTTGACATGAGGTAAGCAGCTAGGAACTGACCTTGCTGAGCAACTGCATGACCCACGTTTGGAAATTCTGTTTAATTATACAATCCATTTGATGGATTGTATAATTAAACAGAATAAGGACCAATCCTAAAGAAAAACAACAGATTAAGTTGAAATTTAATTTGATTTAACTAAAGGCAGACTATTCCGTTTTTTTGCTAGTTTATTACCAGCAATGCTAGTGTGTAAAAACTAGCATTGCTAAAAGCAGCTAAATTGGACCTAGGTTGATGTTAACATGCATTGTTTTCTTATTATTGTTCTCCGGGAAGATGATATCCCAGGCGTGCATCTTGTCCTCCAAAGGAGATCACCTCATCTACAAAGACTGCATCCTCCAACTACAGGCCTATGTCACTCCTTAGCACCTTATCTAAAGTTGTTGAGACAGATTCGTTTTTAATCAACTTGAAGGACACCTTCTCAAGAACAAACTACTGAGACTGATACTTGTATTATCCACCTTTTTAACCACATCAAGCAGGAAAGTGAGAAGGGGAACTATACAGGATTGGTCATGTTAGACTTGCAAAAAGCGTTTGACACCGGACCATGATATTCTTCTGATGAAACTGAAATGCATAGGTCTAAATGATATAGCAGTGAATTGGTTTAGGTCTTACCTGACCAACAGAACACAAGGATGTGCTGTTCTGTCAGAGGCCAAACAAATATCCTGTGGAGTACCGCATGGATCAATCTTAGTGCCACTCTTATTCCTTATATACTGTATGTCAATGATATGCCAACTGCAATTAAGTGCAAACTCATGCTTTATACTGATGACTCAGCATTATCAGGGAAGGGTATGGCTTACATAGAGGAGACCTTGAGTAAGGAATTGCATTATTTTAGAGATTGGTTGATTGACAACAAAGTGTTGCTACATTTGGGCAAAACAATTTATTTATCCAAGCATTTGTCTATGGAAGGTTTTCATTTGGACAAGATTGTCTAGCTAAGAGAAACCACTCCACTGCCCTCTTGTGCCACCTATGTTACGTTTGTAATTTATTATAAATGTATTAGTAGGTTTACGGATTAGGTGAGTACAACCCTGTTTTATTCTGTCTACAAGGAAGGCAATGAAAGAGCACATGATTCCTGTAATTTGTTCAATTGCATGCAGCTCAGATTTTTTTTGATAGACAAAGATATAGTAAAGGCTGTTTTCAGACAGGTCAAACTGCCAGCTGTGTGTGTGCAGGCGCACCAGCCATGTGTGTTTGTGTTTGTGCGTGCGTGCGCGGACAAAAGAGATGCCTACGAAGGAGTTCGCTTCTTCTGCAGCATTCGTTGTAAAATATAGCGCTTTGTGGTGGTGCTTCGGTTACTGCTACTGCTGGTCAGGTTGTATTTATTTTTTAAGATATGAATGATGTGCAATGAATAAGTTGTTATTTAAGGTTAGGGATGATGTGCAATGTATTGTGCCACTCTTTTGGTATGTCAATATGAATCTAATGTGGTTGTTTGTAATTTTGTCTTGCCTTTTAATCATTAGATGTTTTATTTGTTTTACCATCGAGGACCACTTGGGAAACGTGTTTTAATTAAGAATTTTAAGTGTTTTCCTCTGGGACTACATTAAACATATTGTTGTATATGTCTTTTACCCAAATAAATTCAATTAACTACATTACCAGTCAAAAGTTTGGACACACCTACTCATTCAAGGGTTTTTCTTTATTATTACTATTTTTTACATTGTAGAATAATAGTGAAGACATCAACACTATGAAATAACACATATGGAATCATGTAGTAACCAAAAAAGTGTTAAACAAATCAAAATATATTTTATATTTGAAATTCTTCAAATAGCCACCCTGTCACGCCCTGGCCGTGAGAGGCCTGTTGTCTTTAGTTGGTTTGGTCAGGGCGTGAGTTTCTATGTTATATTTTCTATGTTTCAGTTCTAGGTTGTGTGTCTATGTTTGGCCGGGTGTCATTCCCAATCAGAGACTTTGTGAGTGAGCCCACTCCCTTGGCTGAGAAGCAACCCCACACATGAATGGTCTCAGGATGCTTTACTGTTGGCATGACACAGGACTGATGGTAGCGCTCACCTTGTCTTCTCCGGACAAGATGTTTTCCGGATGCCCCAATGAATTGGAAAGGGTTTTCATCAGAGAAAATGACTTTACCCCAGTCCTCAGCAGTCCAATCCCTGTACCTTTTGCAGTATATCAGTCTGTCCCTGATGTTTTTCCTGGAGAGAAGTGGCTTTCTTTGCTGCCCTTCTTGACACCAGGCCATCCTCCAAAAGACTTCGCCTCACTGTGCGTGCAGATGCACTCACACCTGCCTGCTGCCATTCTTGAGCAAGCTCTGCACTGGTGGTGCCCCGATCCCGCAGCTGAATCAACTTTAGGAGACGGTCCTGGCGCTTGCTGGACTTTCTTGTGTGCCCTGACGCCTTCTTTGCAACAATTGAACCTCTCTCGTTGAAGTTCTTGATGATCCGATAAATGGTTGATTTAGGTGCAATCTTACTAGCAGCAATATCCTTGCCTATGAAGCCCTTTTTGTGCAAAGCAATGATGACGGCACGTGTTTCCTTGCAGGTAACCATGGTTAACAGAGGACGAACAATGATTTCAAGCACCACCCTCCTTTTAAAGCTTCCAGTCTGTTATTCTAACTCAATCAGCATGACAGAGTGTTCTCCAGCCTTGTCCTCGTCAACACTCTCACCTGTGTTAACGAGAGAATCACTGACATGATGGCAGTTGGTCCTTTTGTGGCAGGGCTGAAATGCAGTGGAAATGTTTTTTGGGGATTAAGTAAATTTTCATGGCAAAGAGGGACTTTGCAATTAATTGCAATTCATCTGATCACTCTTCATGACATTCTGGAGTATATGCAAATTGCCATCATCAAAACTGAGGCAGCAGACTTTGTGAAAATTTGTATTTGTGTCATTCTCAAAACTTTTGACCATGACTGTATATATACAGTATATGTGTGATTGGATGTATAGACAACATGAACAGTATATGGATAGAATATCTAGTATATCTGAAGAATAGTATATGTACAGCAATAGTTAAATAGGATAGGCCTTGACTAGAATACAGTATATATATATGAAGTGGGTAAAACAGTATGTAAACATTATTAATGTGGCCAGTGTTCCATGACTATGGACAGCAGCCTCTAAGGTGGTAGAGTACCTGGGTGGTAGCCGGGTAGTGACTAAAGTTCAGGGCAGGGTACTGGGCGGAGGCCGGCTAGTGGTGACTATTTAATAGTCTGATGGCCTTGAGATAGAAGCTGTTTTTCAGTCTCTCGGTCCCAGCTTTGATGCACCTGTACTGACCTCGCCTTCTGGATGGTAGCGGTGTGAACAGGCTGTGGTTTGGGTGGCTGAGGTCCTTGATGATCTTCTTGGCCTTCCTCAAATCAAATCTTATTTGTCACATTCACGTGTTTAGCAGATGTTATTGCGGGTGTAGCGAAATGCTTGTGCTTCTAGCTCCGACAGTGCAGTAAGCTCTAACAAGTAATATCTAACAATTTCACAACATATACCCAATACACACAAATCTAAGTAAGGAATGGAATGTAAGAATATATACATAGACGGACAAGCAATGACAGAGCGGCATGGACTAAGATACAGTAGAATATTATAGAATACAGTATATACATATGAGATGAGTAATGCAAGATATGTAAACATTATTAAAGTGACTAGTGTTCCATTTCTTAAAGTGGCCAGTGATTTCAATAGGCAGCAGCCTCTAATGTGCTAGTGATGACTATTTAATAGTCTGATGGCCTTGAGATAGAAGCTGTTTTTCATTCTCTCGGTCCCAGCTTTGATGCACCTGTACTGACCTCGCCTTCTGGATGATAGCAGGGTGAACAGGCAGTGGCTCGGGTGGTTGATGTCCTTGATGATCTTTTTGGCCTTCCTGTGACATCGGGTGCTGTAGGTGTCCTGGAGGGCGAATAATTTACCCCCGGTAATGCGTTCGGCAGAACGCACCACCCTCTGAAGAGCCCTGCGGTTGCGGGCAGTGCAGTTGCTGTACCAGGCGGTGATACAGCCTGACAGGATGCTCTCAATTGTGCATCTGTAAAAGTTTGTGAGGGTTTTAGGTGCCAAGCCAAATTTCTTCAGCCTCCTGAGGTTGAAGAGGCTCTGTTGCGCCTCCTGTGACACTGGGTGCTGTAGATGTCCTGGAGGGCAGGCAGTGTGCCCCTGGTGATGCGTTGGGCAGATTGCACCACCATCTGGAGAGCCCTGCGGTTGTGGATGGTGCAGTTGCCGTACCAGGCGGTGATTCAGCACGACAGGATGCTGTCAATGGTGCATCTGTAAAAGTTTGTGAGGGTCTTAGGGCCGAAGCCAGATTTCTTCAGCCTCCTGAGGTTGAAGAGGTGCTGTTGCGCCTTCTTCACCACACTGTCTGTGTGGCTGGACCATTTTAAGATTGTCAATTATGTGTACGCCGAGGAACTTGTGGATGGGGGCGTGCTCCCTCTGCTCTTTCCTGAAGTCCACGATCAGCTCCTTCATTTTGTTGATGTTGAGGGAGAGGTTATTTTCCTGGCACCACTCCGCCAGGGCCCTCACCTCCTCCCTGTAGGCTGTCTCGTCGTCGTTGGTAATCAGGCCTACCACTGTTGTGTTGTCAGCAAACCTGATGATTGCATTGGAGATGTGCGTGGCCACGCAGTCATGGGTGAACAGCAGTGGAGGCTGCTGAGCGGAGGACGGCTCTTAATAATGGCTGGAATGGAGTAAATGGAATGGTATCAAACATGTTTGATACCATTTAATTCACTCCATTCCAGCCATTATTATGAGCCGTCCTCCCCTCAGCAGCCTCCACTGGTGAACAGGGAGTACAGGAGGGGGCTGAGCACGCACCCTTGCGGGGCACCTGTGTTGAGGATCAGCGTAGTGGAGGTGTTGTTGCCTAACTTCACCACATGGGGGGCAGCCCGTCAAGAAGTCCAGGACCCAGTTGAACAGGGCGGCGGTTCGGACCCAGGGCCCTAAGCTTAATGATGAGCTTGGAGGGTACTATGGTGTTGAAGACTGAGCTGTAGTCAACAGCATTCTTACATAGTTATTCCTCTTGTCCAGATGGGATAGGGCAATGTGCAGTGCGGTGGCGATTGCGTCATCCGTGGATCTATTGGGGCGGTATGCAAATTGCAGTGGGTCTAGGATGTCAGGTAAGGTGGAGGTGATATGATCCTTAACTAGCCTCTCAAACCACTTCATGATGACAGAAGGGAGTGCCACGGGGCAATAGTCATTTAGTTCAGTTACCGATAACATGGTGGAGCCATGCATGTGATCAGTATCTCCTCCTTAACCTATACTTCCTTTCTGTCCGTTCCATTTCTCTCTCTGTCCCTAGACATTTAAATTGGATACTTACGTTTGAAAGTGTACCAGGACAGAAATATAATTTTGGGTTTTATATTTCTATAAGGATATACTGTAAGGATGATATATTTATAAATGGTCATTAACTGATTAAATTCCCTCACTGTTCTCCAGGGAGTCCTGATGAAGGCAGACATTGAGGGAGAGATCAGAGTGAAGTGTTACATGCCAAGCTGCTCAGGTGAGCTTTCTTCTTTAAAGTCTTAATTTTGAATGATGTGCTGTCAGAGGCAAGTACAACCTTAAATAGGTTCTGAATCTTCCATGCCTAACCATTTTACATTCTCAAATTCTCCTTTCTCCTCACTTTCTCCCCCTTTCCTCCTCTTCTCTGAAAACGAACTGTTATTGGCAGAGAGGTTTGGAACTCTTTCTTATTGGTTTATTAAATAATTTACTGCTTGGTGATGTCAACAGGCAGGCCAAAACTCCATCCCATCAAAACAGGCTGAAATTACAGGAGGTCATTTCAAACAGCTCTTACACTAAAAGGGCGTTATCATCATTTTCACAATTTCACAGTATTGTTCCAACCTCAGTGTGGAGATGTATATAAAACTCAGGAAAATCACGTTTGACTGCACTGGGCCTTTAAAACATATCATTCCCTGCCACAGCATTAATTGTCATAATGGATGTTATTGACCTTTAGTTGTACTCTCAACCTTATTGTGGAAGAGCACAGTCACATCTCCCACTGACATCAAGGCATTACACACAAGTCTGTGTTATCTGCTCTTTCCTCTCTGCTCTCAGGCTATGGGGCAGCTGTTCATGTGGATGAGTGCAGCTTCCACCAGGCTGTCAGGCTGGATGAGTTTGACACCTACAGAATCCTGAAATTGTGTCCCAGCCAAGGAGAGGTGCTCATGGAATTCACTCAATCACACACACACACACTACACCAAGACTTGTATCTCACTGTTACATAAACAAATGTATTCTCTCTCAAAGTTTTTCACACACACTTTTTCGCTCTCTAGCAAATAGTGATGACCTGCCCACAGTCCCTCCATTCCGTATTTTCCCTTCTATAGAGAGGGACAGTGGTGGCAGGTACAGAACCCCTCATCATTCAGAACACTGTTCATTCCTTTTGGGTAGAGAACCCTTTACCAGAACCATCTCATATGGTATAACACACAGATTTCACTTCCTCTTACTAATGATGACAACTGTCATTTTAACTTCCCCATTTTACTAACTTGAGTGTTGGGAAATCAAGTCTTTAAACATCCCAACCACCACCCTCAACACACACTTGCTCTTTCCTGTAGGTTATTGATGTACTTGAAGCTGCGGCGTGACCTGCCCCCAAAGAGGTCAGTCCTCCAATAACAGGGAATGCTGATATGCATGTACATTATGTTGAGAATGTAGAGTTTGCATGTAGCATATGTGGTAGTCATTGAACACTTGATAATACTTTATGATGTACTTTATAATAGTTAAATGTAGTCTGTCAGTGTGATTATCCTTGCCTTCTCTGATTGGACTGCAACGTAGGTCACTCTTTGTCAAGGAAGCAATCTCTTCTCTTTTACAGCGCTGCTATTAATGTTTATATTACAATACCGGTCCCCAAGGGCTCGCTTAGGTGAGGAGAAACTCCTTTCTCTATCTCATGTTCCCTCCATCCTTCTCCCGGTCTCTCACCATGTGTACCCCCTCAGTACATAACAACCTCCCGCTCCTCGCTCTCTCCATCTCTTCTCACCCTCTTTGTTTTCCAGTCTCTCTCAGGAGTTGAGAAGCCCGGACCAGAGTGCTGAACTGCAGCCAAAAAACAAGGCTGTTCACTGGGAGAATCTCACTTCCCAGGGGGTGCCCAGCTCTCCGCCCTGTTCAAGGTGACTAAACATTATCAGCACAATAGCAGATAGCAGGTACTGGTAGTGTGAGGGTATAATAGGTCAGTTTCAGTGACGCTGATGTCAGGAAATCAGGAATGTCTTATCATTGAGGAAGAATCATATCTCTGCATACTTGTTTGCTATAGATCAGATAGATTGTAGATCAGATCGTTAGCTATAGATCAGGTTCTCAAAAGCCATTAGCCATTTGCAGGTCGCATAGAGCAATGAGGCATATGCAGACAGCATTATATGATTAACATACTTCAGTGGAAACTTAGCAAGTGCAAAATAATCCTGTTGTTCAAGGTACATTATTTGACCCTAATAGACATGTAATAGATAGACAACTATGCAAATGATTGACCAACATGCTGAGCACTTCCTCTCTCCCTGTACATTCAGCTGGAGGTCCCTGGCCTTAGCTCTGCCTCATTACAGGAAGTAGGACCAGTCAGTCTGAGCTTTGAGCTGCTTAAGTACACCTGCACAGGACTGCAAATTAGATTCCTCCGCCTGTCCCCGATACAGCCTGGACCATTGTAATGCTGGGTCCGCTACGTGACCCATTCAGACGCATATACCATCCGTATCTGATACGGACATACAGCGCACACAGACACAACATTGATCACTCAGACTCTGGTCTACTCTCAATATGGATGTGAACCCTGATCTTGACTGCCTGAAAAAGTGAAGGGACTTTTGTATGACATGTTTATTCTGTGTATTGGAGTGACCCAATACAAATGCATCTACTACACCAAAAAGCTACCCCTACATTATAGTATTGTCATTATATTATGTCATATGGGAAATAATGCAGGAAAATCTATGAATATGAGTAGAAACATTCAGCACTCCTCCTGTAATGTATATAGTTGTCACCTGCATTGCACTTCTCTACAGAATGTTCATATAGGAAAGTAGTGTAGAACAGACGTTAAACTATATTGTAAAAAAGGGAGTTCTGTTTGCAACGCTCTGAACGTTGCATCCCAGAAAGCACTACCATTTGGGCGTAGCGCCTTCTGATAGTGCGTAGGTATTGCGCAATGCTACAGTACTGTCCCCAAAAGCGCATCTTGATTGCTGCACGGAGCGGATGAGTTCCTGCTTTTGCGGAAGCGAAAAGGCCAGCGCTAGAGAGCAAATTATCTTGCAAGGGTGGAGGAAAAGACACCATAAAATTAATTGAAAAAAAAAGAAAAATACACCCATCTACCGAAAGCCCGTCGAGGAGATGGGGGATAAGGCCGGCACCAGGTAAGGATTAACTCCCCCGCAATCTCGTATTTGCTGCTGCCTTGTGTGGAGGCGAGGGCATAGCGAGCTAGTTACGCTAACATTTTAGCTAGCTAGCATCACTTTAGCGAGACGAGACTACTCTCAGCCTTTTCCCCATGCATCAACATCAAATTGGTCTTAACCAAAGCAAGAGGAACTATCTAGTTAAATAAACATTGGATACTAGCTAGATTAAGACAAAACTACTATACTCGTAAAATTTCGTTGGCCGTGTTTTTATTACGCTATACAGAATAGGTACAGGCAGACCCGTATGTTCCCTAGCTAGTTAGCTAACTTTAGCAGCGGTAACTAGCTAGAATTGTTCGCGCGGGAGACTTCGCTTTCCTCTTGTATACACCTTAATGGCGATACCATCTTTGTAGTTTTAGCAAACATGTTCTAACAGCTAGCTGCAGGGTGGGGTTAGCTGTGATGGCCACCGAGGTGTGTGGGTAAGGTACTCTCACACCACCAACAACAAGCTAGCTCAATATGAACGGATGAGCTGACTGCATGATCGACAGCTATGCTGTTTTGAGTTAACGAGTGGCTACTTAGTTATCGTGCCTTTTGACACAAGTCATGCATGTTGGTTGATGATTATTTGGCCCTCAGTGACGTATATTTGACGTACGTTTTACGCATAATCGCCCAAATTGTTATTTTATAAATATCCTGCATGGAAATGTAAACAAAAAAGCACACACGTCTGTCCAGCTATTGATATCATGTGCCATACACGTGACTGGGTACTGTATATAGCATGATGTTGTAAAGCCACTGCTGTGTGCTGTCCATATCAGGCCAAAGCAATTTACCATGCAGCTATTCATACACTTGCCTGCCTGACACCTTTGATCACTTCAAAGTATTTTGCTCATGGTAATCAGCTGCTTGCATCTGCATCAGTATGCACATTCTGACTCTGAGCAGCTGTACTTCCCTACTAGGTTATTCTGGATCAGTGTCCTCTGCAAGTGACTGTAAATCATGTGTAATAGACTTGGTGGTTGTGCAGCATAGTTCACTACTGACAATTGTTAATTGATTTGATGTTGAAATTCCTTGGTTAGTCCCTTTATTCACGATAGTTAGAAATAAATGGTCAGATTGGTGTTTTGGGGTTTAAGGTCAAGGTCCTGTGGTTGAGTAAAAGTCCAGGTTAATATATGATTTTGTCTTGTGGTCTCTGAAGCGTCAGCAGGACTGATGACGACCCCCTGGCAGACTGTAGTGGGCAAGTGGCGTGTTTGAGGGGTCGGGTTTGGCTGATATCTGGTGGGGAAGTATGAAATGTAGCACTGGCTCGTAAATTAAGAGACGGTAGAGCTCTAGGCGAAGGAGATCCAAACTGAACGTCTGCAGAGAAGATACATTCACCCTGGACCTGTGCTAAGGGGACATGCACCATGTAGTCTCGAAACCCAGACCCTAGCTTGCTAGCTACTATTTGTGTCTGGGGGATGTGGGCAACGAGCAGATAAGGCAGTGAAATACACTGAACAAAACTGTAAACACAACATGTAAAGTGTTTGTCTGATGTTTCATGAGCAGAAATAAAAGATCCCTGACATTTTTCATACGCACAAAAGGCTTATTTCTCTCATTGTGTGGCCAAATCCCTGTTAGTGAGCATTTCTCCTTTGCCAAGATAATCCGTCCACCTGACAGGTGTGGCATATCAAGGAGCTGATTAAACAGCATGATCATTACACAGGTGCACCTTGTGCTGGGGACAATAAAAGGCCACTCTAAAATTTGCAGTTTAGTCAAACAACACTGCCAACACAAAGAAGAGGCAACTCTAATTAACTTATATGGCATTTATTTGAATTTTTACATTGCAAAAAGTGACAATTATTTTTCATTTCACGAGATTTCATTGTGAAATCCATCGATTTAGGGCTTAATGAATTGATTTCAATTGACTGATTTCCTCATATGAACTGTAACTCAGTAAAATCATAGACATTTTAGCATGTTGCGTTTTTGTTCGGTTTAGTTCCACTATGTCAAACTGACATTGTATCGTACAGATTTATAAGCCAGAACATCAAGCACATTGTGGCAGGCAACCCGGCTGTCTAGAGAGACTATGCACCATGCCCTGTGTCCACTACACAGACTCACTCAGGTTAAGTAATATACAGTGGGGGAAAAAAGTATTTAGTCAGCCACCAATTGTGCAAGTTCTCCCACTTAAAAAGATGAGAGAGGCCTGTAATTTTCATCATAGGTACACGTCAACTATGACAGACAAATTGAGAGAAAAAAGATCCAGAAAATCACATTGTAGGATTTTTAATGAATTTATTTGCAAATTATGGTGGAAAATATGTATTTGGTCACCTACAAACAAGCAAGATTTCTGGCTCTCACAGACCTGTAACGTCTTCTTTAAGAGGCTCCTCTGTCCTCCACTCGTTACCTGTATTAATGGCACCTGTTTGAACTTGTTATCAGTATAAAAGACACATGTCCACAACCTCAAACAGTCACACTCCAAACTCCACTATGGCCAAGACCAAAGAGCTGTCAAAGGACACCAGAAACAAAATTGTAGACCTGCACCAGGCTGGGAAGACTGAATCTGCAATAGGTAAGCAGCTTGGTTTGAAGAAATCAACTGTGGGAGCAATTATTAGGAAATGGAAGACATACAAGACCACTGATAATCTCCCTCGATCTGGGGCTCCACGCAAGATCTCACCCCGTGGGGTCAAAATGATCACAAGAACGGTGAGCAAAAATCCCAGAACCACACGGGGGGACCTAGTGAATGACCTGCAGAGAGCTGGGACCAAAGTAACAAAGCCTACCATCAGTAACACACTACGCCGCCAGGGACTCAAATCCTGCAGTGCCAGACGTGTCCCCCTGCTTAAGCCAGTACATGTCCAGGCCCGTCTGAAGTTTGCTAGAGTGCATTTGGATGATCCAGAAGAGGATTGGGAGAATGTCATATGGTCAGATGAAACCAAAATATAACTTTTTGGTAAAAACTCAACTCGTCGTGTTTGGAGGACAAAGAATGCTGAGTTGCATCCAAAGAACACCATACCTACTGTGAAGCATGGGGGTGGAAACATCATGCTTTGGGGCTGTTTTTCTGCAAAGGGACCAGGACGACTGATCCGTGTAAAGGAAAGAATGAATGGGGCCATGTATCGTGAGATTTTGAGTGAAAACCTCCTTCCATCAGCAAGGGCATTGAAGATGAAACGTGGCTGGGTCTTTCAGCATGACAATGATCCCAAACACACCGCCCGGGCAACGAAGGAGTGGCTTCGTAAGAAGCATTTCAAGGTCCTGGAGTGGCCTAGCCAGTCTCCAGATCTCAACCCCATAGAAAATCTTTGGAGGGAGTTGAAAGTCCGTGTTGCCCAGCGACAGCCCCAAAACATCACTGCTCTAGAGGAGATCTGCATGGAGGAATGGGCCAAAATACCAGCAACAGTGTGTGAAAACCTTGTGAAGACTTACAGAAAGCGTTTGACCTGTGTCATTGCCAACAAAGGGTATATAACAAAGTATTGAGAAACTTTTGTAGGTGACCAAATACTTATTTTCCACCATAATTTGCAAATAAATTCATTAAAAATCCTACAATGTGATTTTCTGGATTTTTTTTTCTCAATTTGTCTGTCAGTTGACGTGTACCTATGATGAAAATTACAGGCCTCTCTCATCTTTTTAAGTGGGAGAACTTGCACAATTGGTGGCTGACTAAATACTTTTTTCCCCCACTGTACAAGTCAAACTTAGTACCCCATGCTGCTAGTGTGCTTATGTTCTCCATCACTGGTGGGAAAGAATAGAGCATTCACCTTCCTCCTGTAGTCCTGCTCAGAAATGGACTAGTCAGTGGTCCACCTTCATTCCCCTATTGTCAATGAGTTGTTGACTTGTCCTTATCAGACAGTGGCAGCAACTGGGAGGAAGTTCAATGCAAAGATATTCTATCTAGATATTCCCATTTATGACAGCAGACAATAGTTGTTCAATGCTCGCCAGTTAATATCCTCTTTCCTCTTACACACACACTATGTGTGTGACACCTCGCCACATTCCCAAGGTTGAGAACATGGTGTCTGGGCCTCCCAAGTGGTGCAGCGGTCTATGGCGTGAGGCGTCACTACAGCCCCGGGTTCGATCCCATGCTGTGTCGGAGCCTGCTGCTACTGGGAGACCCATGAGGCGGTGCACAATTGGCCCAGCGTCGTCCGGGTTAGGGGAGGGTTTGGCTGGCCAGGATGTCCTTGTCCCATCGTGCTCTAGCGACTCCTTGTGGCGGACCGGGCGCATGCACGCAGACTTCGGTCGCCAGTTGTACGGTGTTTCCTCCGACACATTGGTGCGGCTGGCTTCCGGGTTAAGCGAGCAGTATGTCAAGAAGCAGTGCGGTTTGGCAGGGTCGTGTTTCGGAGGACGCGTGGCTCTCGACCTTCACCTCTCCCGAGTCCGCAATGGGACAAGGCTGTAACTACCAATTGGATATATCGAAAAAGGGGTAAAAAAATAATTATATATATAAGAACATGGTGTCTAACTTTCCTCTTACGCTTGGGCTAAATTCCTGTATGTGTGTTTGGGTACCTAGGTTAGGTATGCATAGGGAATGTGTAGGCCTACTCTGTGAGGATGGCAGTGTTCCTTGTGAATCTAGATCGGAAACTATTCTTGATCTGCATGACAAGGATGTTTCTGTCATAACAAATAAAAAATGGTGCATGCATGCTGCAATAGGCTATGTGTAAAGAGTACACACAGTATGTATCAATACTTCTCTGTAAATATTCCTTGTGAGATCAGGAAGGAGTGTTTTTTTTTCCTGTTGTTTGTGGCAAAGTCAGCAGCAGGAAATGGCCTCTATTTGCTGGGAGATAGTTTCCTGTCCAGATGCAGGACATTGGGTCTAACCCCACACCTCTGGGACATGATAGAGGGCAAACTGGACGAACACCAGGGCCCAGTTTTTCAAAAGATATCTGGTGGGATTTCGGCAATTGGATATTAAATGTTAGAATTGAGGTTTTTGAAACTGTAAAATTAGTATTTGGTAATCCAATCTCACCTTTAATCAGGATTGTATGTCATTTTTGCGTTTTTCAAAACTCAAAGGTAGTGATTAGGATAGTTTTGATGCAGAAAATCTGGATTATCTCGATCCCACTGGAAGGTTGGATTTAGAAAGGTGAAATGCATTACAATACATTTAAATGTAAAAAACGGTTCATTATGTTAAATTGGCCGCAGTATAGGTTTGTGGTCAGTTGTTATATTGAGAAGTGTCAAATAAATGCATTTACTTACTTTTATGCAGGCTCTATTATTTTAATCAAGGTACCTTTATTCATGTAGTTTACTCATCTGTTTCCTTATGACAGTGTAGAAGTAGTACCACAACCTGTCCAGTAGATGGCAAGGTGTAGGACCGTTCAAAGCATTGAAAATCAAATCCGGATTCTGTGATCTTGATGTTATGGTATCTGGATCAGAATGATTCTATCCAATTATTTTCTGAACAACCTTCTCATAAACAGCCAGATCGATCTGATCCTGAATAGCAAAAAAGAGGATTACAGAGTCCGGATCATTCTGATCCAGATAAAGAGTTTGGAAGAACTGGGCCCAGAGGTGTGAAAATCACACCCCATACTTTATAGGGGCCTCAAACTCAACTCTGGACCTCGAAGCCAGTTCCACTGCTTGTTTTCATTGTTCCCTTCTAATCAGGGACTGATTTAGACCTGGGACACCAGGTGGGTGCAATTAATTATCAGGTAGAACCAGCAGGCTCTGGACCTCGTAGGGTAAGAGTTGGATACCCCTGTTATAAACTAGATCTTCCTGCTTGATCAAATCTCTTTCTCGCTTTCTGTCTTCCTTGTTTTTCTCAGAGTCTTCAAGAAGTCAAGCCCCAACTGCAAGGTAAAGGACATGAGTATTGCATTCTTAGTTGTATCCTTTGATGCTTTACTTTGTTATTCATTGTGACACATTTGTCTAAGTACCTCTACTTCCCCCCTACTCCTCCTGTTTGCAGGTCACAGTATACCTGGGAAAGAGAGACTTTGTGGATCACCTTGACCAGGTGGACCCAGTCGGTAGGTGCAGGACGGTTAATTAGTTTACTGGTTAGAGCAGTGGATCCAAAACTGTGGGGCGCACCCACTAGGGGGTACACGAGGGGTCGGCAAGGGGGGCGCTGGGAATCAGATAATCTCTCCTAAAACTGCCAAATTTGAGTGTTTTTATAAACATAGTGTTTCAAACAATTTAATATTGTCTCCTCAAAACCTAATCTCTTGACATTGTCCTTTCTTACAGATGGTGTGATCCTAGTGGACCCTGAGTATCTGAAAGACAGGAAAGGTCTTCCTCATTCTCTACACTGTTTTGTCTCCTCCATTTTTTGCAATTGTATGTCAAACTCTTCTGATGTTCAAACCCCTCCTCCTCCCCAGTGTTTGTGACCCTGACGTGTGCGTTCCGCTACGGCCGTGAGGACCTGGACGTGCTGGGCCTGTCCTTCCGGAAGGATCTCTACATCTCCACCTTCCAGGCTTTCCCCCCCATCGCAGAGGAACGCAAAGCCAACAGCCGCCTGCAGGAGAGACTACTGAAGAAACTGGGCCAGCAGGCACACCCCTTCTACTTCACTGTGAGTCAAGAAGACACACACACGCACCAGACCAGGGTTAAAATACTATTTAGGGCAGGGATGGGCAACTTTGATGGGGTAGAGGTCCACAAAAAAATGGAACTCCTCATGAGGGGCCGCAGTGGCTCGTGGGTCATTTCCTGCAATTCTACACATTTTGCCATGGGGTGGAGGCAAATGTTTGCAGTTTTTAATATGATAACTGATGATCAATGGGCCCCACGCCTGTCAGTAATTCGACAATGCTTACTACAAGTTTAGATAGTTGGCCGCTAGACTAACTTACTCATCTAAAAAAAAGAAATGCTGACATGGGCTAATTGAGTGACTGCTGATGCACAACCACATTTTGAAATTGCACCTTGTATATTCTATTATTCTAACTCTCAACCGTATGTTGAGACCCTGACTGAGTTCCAAATGTTTTTGTTGTTGTTTTTCTAAAGTATTTATTTATTTTTAATTGGTCCGTGGGCCTACAAAAGGGGCATGTGGCCCGCGTGCAGCGAGTTGCCCATCCCTAATTTAAGGTATTTAAATAGTGTTGAATATTGGAATGTATTTGGAAATACACTTGGAAAGTATTTTAAAATACACTCCCATGCATTTAATCTAGGTATTTGAAAATAGTATTTGAAATAGGTATTTGAAAATACTTTCAAATAGTAGGCAGTTTATAGGAAATTATTTGAAAATACTTTCAAATACTTCCAATAGAAGTAGTTGACTCGAGCCACATTATATGAGCCTGTAAAATGATACTAATAATATGGCAACTGTGTGTGTCTGTCTCAGATTCCCCAGAACCTGCCGTGCTCAGTCACCTTACAGCCAGGACCAGAGGACACAGGGAAGGTACAGAATCTTCAGCATCACTTTATGTAAACGTACACATTTATAATATATGACGGCTATCTAAACGTAGCAATTTCCATACCTGTAGAGTCAACAATGCACACCCACATGACACTAATAATGCCTATTCTATAATTTTGTCCCTGTAACTCCTCCTCCTCTCCTTTCCTCCATCTTTCCCTCTTTAGGCATGTGGGGTTGACTTTGAGATCAAAGCGTTCTGTGCCAAATCGATAGAGGAGAAGATTCACAAACGGTACGAAAACCATTTAACTTTGTTGTGTGTGTGTCTTCTGCAGGAGCTGTTTAGGGTCTGCGGTCCTTGAAAGCATGTGATATGCATGTCTGTTCTCTGTGTTTTTAGTTAGTCAGCAAAGTTGGTTATCCGTAAAGTATAACGTGTGTTGTGTAGGAACTCTGTGCGACTGGTGATCCGTAAGGTGCAGTATGCCCCAGAGAAGCCTGGGCCTCAGCCCATGGTGGAGACCACACGGAGCTTCCTCATGTCGGACCGCTCACTACACCTGGAGGCCTCTCTGGATAAAGAGCTCTACTACCATGGAGAACCCATCAGCGTGAACGTTCATGTCACCAACAACTCCACCAAGACTGTCAAAAGGCTCAAAATCTCAGGTACCTGTCACGCATGACTGTAAGTCGCTTTGGATAAAAGCGTCTGCTAAATGGCATATTATTATTATTATTATTATTATTATTATTACCTGTCTTTAATCAAAGTTTTATCAATGATGTTTGTTTATGACTCTAGGCTCTATTCACTCTTTTCCCTTCAGTTTGTGTGTGTGGTTAACCCGTTCTATCCCTCTCTCTCCAGTACGACAGTATGCTGATATCTGTCTGTTCAGTACGGCTCAGTACAAGTGTCCAGTGGCTCAGGTGGAGGCAGAGTGAGTATTTTACCTGACTATTAAGCCTATATCTCTCTTCAGTTCCTTTATTTCCCCTATGCCTTTCCTTTTATACATTATTCCATGTATCATTTTTCAGGCTTCCAAGACATCTCTCTTAATAACCTCTAGCTTGTGATCAGGTTTTTCCCATACCTTATTGTCCAGATCTATTGAAATTCCAGTTATGGCCCAGGTGTGCTGATAAGTGTGTGTGCACCTTTCCTCAGTGACCAGGTGTCGTCTAGCTCTACATTCTGTAAGGTGTACACCCTCACACCCACGCTAGACAAGAACCGAGAGAAGAGAGGCCTGGCCTTGGACGGAAAGCTCAAACACGAGGACACCAACCTGGCCTCCAGCACCATGTATGTTGACTCGCGCAAACAAACAAACACACACACAGACAAACCTGCCCTCCAGCACTGTGTATACACTGACAGACACACTCACACAAACGCTGTAGTCTGGCATCCACAACCATTTTAGATAACAAGAACACTCACTAGCCCTCACTGTGTGAGATCACACACACTCTAACTTGGCCACCATGTGAGTTTACATACACATGCTTGGGGAGAGGTTGAGCTCATAAATGCATTGTGATTTATGTTCGAGTGCAGCACCCTAGAAGATGCAAGAACCCATCCCTTACTGAGAACCTTTTTCATCGTCTTCTCTTTCTCTCGTGTGTGTGTTTCAGTGTTAAGGATGTGACTAACAAGGAGGTCCTTGGAATCCTGGTGTCCTACAGGGTCAAAGTCAAACTGGTAATCTCTCGTGGAGGGTGAGTTCCACAGGAGTCAGTGGTCAATATTAATATACAGTGCATTCGGAAAGTATTCAGACCCATAGATTTTTTTCCCCCACACATTTTGTTACGTAACAACCTTATTCTAAAATTGATTACATTTTTTTCCCTTATCAATTTACACACAATACCCCATAATGACAAAGCAAAAACAGGTTTTTAGAAATGTTTGCAAATGTGTTAAAAATTAAAAACTGAAATATCACATTTACATAAGTATTCAGACCCTTTACTCAGTACTTTGTTGAAGTGCCTTTGGCAGCAATTACAGCCTCGAGTCTTCTTGGGTATAACGCTACAAGCTTATCACACCTGTTTTGGAGGAGTTTCTCTCATTCTTCTCTGCAGATCCTCTCAAGCTCTGTCAGGTTGGATGGGGAGCGTCGCTGCACAGCTATTTTCAGGTCTCTCCAGAGATGTTCAAGTCCAGGCTCTGGTTGGGCTACTCAAGGACATTCAGAGACTTGTCCCGAAGCCACTCCTGTGTTACCTTGGCTGTGTGCTTAGGGTCGTTGTCCTGTTGGAAGGTGAACCTTCGCCCCAGCTTGAGGTCCTGAACACTTTGGAGCAGATTTTCATCAAGGATCTCTCTGTACTTTGCTCCGTTCATCTTTCCCTCGATCCTGACTAGTCTCCCTATCCCTGCCGCTGAAAAACATCCCCACAGCATGATGCTGCCACCACCATGCTTCACCATAGGGATGGTACCAGGTTTCCTCCAGACATGACGCTTGGCATTCAGGCCAAAGAGTTCAATCTTGGTTTCATAAGACCAGAGAATCTTTTTTCTCATGGTCTGAGAGTCCTTTAGGTGCCTTTTGGCAAACTCCAAGCAGGCTGTCATGTGCCTTTTACTGAGGAGTGGCTTCCGTCTGGCCACTCTACTATAAAGGCCTGATTGGTGGAGTGCTGCAGAGATGGTTGTCCTTCTGAAAGGTTCTCCCAACTTCACAGAGGAACTCTGGAGCTCTGTCAGAGTGACCATCGGGTTCTTGGTTACCTCCCTGACCAAGGCCCTTCTCCCCCGATTGCTCAGTTTGGCCGGGCGGCCAGCTCTAGGAAGAGTCTTGGTGGTTCCAAACTTCTTCCATTTAAGAATGATGGAGGCCACTGTGTTCTTGGGGACCTTCAATGCTGCAGAAATTTTTTGGTACCCTTCACCAGATCTGTGCCTCGACACAATCCTGTCTCTGAGCTCTACAGAAAATGTATTCAGCCTCATGCCTTGGTTTTTGCTCTGACATGCACTGTCAACTGTGGGACCTTATATAGACAGGTGTGTACCTTTCCAAATAATGTCCAATCAATTGAATTTACCACAGGTGGACTCCAATCAAGTTGTAGAAACATCAAGGATGATCAATGGGAGCAGGATGCACCTGAGCTCGATTTCGAGTCTCATAGCAATGGGTCTGAATACTTATGTAAATAAGGTATTTTTGTTTTTTTATACATTTGCAAACATTTCTAAAAACCTGTTTTCGCTTTGTCATTATGGGTTATTGTGTGTAGATTGATAAGGGAAAAACATTAATTTAATCCATTTTAGAATAAGGCTGTAACGTAACAATGTGGAATAAGTAAAGGGGTCTGAATACTTTCCGAATGCATTGTGTGTGAGGGGGGGGGGGGAGATTATGTGCAGGTCCTCACACACACACACACACACAGACAGACAAGCGCGCACACAAAAACACATTTACACTCCCTCCTGTGTCTCACACACATACTCCTGATACTCTGCCACTCCAACTCTGTAATGACATCACGTCTGCCAGACCCTCACTAGTCTCTCTGCTCCTCCCACCTCACTCACTGACACGCCATGCTTTGCTGTCTCCCCTCTCGGTTGCGGTTGCCTTGGTTTTGAGTTCTCGCCTCATTTCATCTCTCCCCTCCTGTGTTTGTCCGCCCGTCTGTGCATCTGTCTCTCCATCCGTGCGTCTGCTCCTGTGTTGGGTCGTGTCAGGCTGCTGAGTGGCGTGTTAGAGAGGTAATATGATATCCCAGCCGCCACCTGTGTGTGTGTGGTGATCTTACGTCCTACTGCCATCTGCGTGTGTGTGGTGATCTTACGTCCTACTGCCATCTGCGTGTGTGTGGTGATCTTACGTCCTACTGCCATCTGTGTGTGTGGTGATCTTACGTCCTACTGCCATCTGTGTGTGTGTGGTGATCTTACGTCCTACTGCCATCTGTGTGTGTGTGGTGATCTTGCGTCCTACTGCCATCTGCGTGTGTGTGGTGATCTTACGTCCTACTGCCATCTGTGTGTGTGGTGATCTTACGTCCTACTGCCATCTGTGTGTGTGTGGTGATCTTACGTCCTACTGCCATCTGTGTGTGTGGTGATCTTGCGTCCTACTGCCATCTGTGTGTGTGTGGTGATCTTACGTCCTACTGCCATCTGTGTGTGGTGATCTTACGTCCTATTGCCATCTGTGTGTGTGTGGTGATCTTACGTCCTATTGCCATCTGTGTGTGTGTGGTGATCTTACGTCCTACTGCCATCTGTGTGTGTGTGGTGATCTTACGTCCTACTGCCATCTGTGTGTGTGTGTGTGTGTGTGTGGTGATCTTACGTCCTACTGCCATCTCTGTGTGTGCACCATTAGTGCCTCGTGTGTGTGAGGATTTTACATACCAGCATTGTGTGTGTCAAATCTCACCTGCAGCTGCTAAGATCCTTTTTAACTGCAGCCGTCCCAGTCTTCTCCCTTTCTGAGTCACAGGGTCCTAACCCTAAGGATGGTGTGAGGTTTCATAAGGCAGTGGCTCAAAGCCACACTGATTATTCCATGCTGAGTTATCAATGCAGTGTTGAGGGTAATGAAGCTTGAATATAATAACACTTCACATCTTGGTGTTTAGGCTTTGATTTACGGCAATTCATTGGTTATTACTAAATAATAACTGTTCTGTTAAATTAAGTGCAACCCAACACGGAAGAGTTCCAATTGGGTGAGATTAACAATTGACAGCTAAGGAGGGTTGATGTGCTTTATTCCCCCTTCACTGATCTAACATATCACTATTTCCTGGGTTGTTTCCTGTCAGATCTTGGATTATTCGTGGTGCAATAGTATATCATCATATGTACATATTGATGTTTCCATAGAATAACAATCAAATTGTTATTGATTGACATATTGATCCTATATAATCAATGGATGTTGTTTATATTCTGTGCGTTTCCAGAGATGTGTCGGTGGAGCTGCCCTTCGTCTTAATGCACCCCAAACCCACGGAACTGCCCATATCCCGCCCACAGTCAGGTACCTACAGACTCACACCACCTCTCCATAAGCCCACTATCAGGGCTTTATCTCAGTACCTTGGATGAATCTCAGTTCCTCTTCTTCCCTTAATTTGCACTGAATTGAACAAATCCTCTCTGACAAGCTTCCGCCATATTCTTTCAACATGTTACATTCACGTATCCAAACATTCCGATCAGTTCAAATTAAGAGCGGAAGATGAGGACTTTCGAGGCTTGCTTTTTTAGACTGATTGGGAAGCAGTGAATTGTGATAGTGGGAACTCTACTAGGCCTGCATAGTGTCTGAAAAGGGTTTGAGAATGGACACAGTCTTGTGAACTATCTGTCAGTAGTTTAGTTCAGCCTCATGCCCTGAACAACAGTTCCTCACATACACAAGCCCCTCAAATACATCATCTCACTCTGGTATTTCCTGCCTGTAAGTTACCATGGAGTTGCCATGGAGATACAAAGCTGTTCCCATGGCGACATCGCGCTGACATGTCATTATCTGTGTGTTCTAACAGCTGTGCCGGATTCAGACCCTCCCATCGACACCAACCTGATAGAATTTGAAACAAAGTGAGTATTCATCTGGTCTGTCTGGCCATTGTAAGCACTGCTGGTTTGCTATGATCAAAGAGACCCTAAGACTATTCCCTCATATCTAAAACACTCCATGTTTCCTTGTTCCTTGTCGTCCTGCAGTAGTTTCTCCCAAGACGACGACTTTGTGTTTGAGGACTTCGCCCGCCTGCGGCTCAAAGGAATGGCAGACGACAAGGATGACGACTGCTAGAGCTCACATACACACACACACTCTCGCACAAACTCTTACACACATTCATACATACAGACACACACAGGCACACAGGCGGTGGGATGAAGGCATGTGGACGGAGAGATGTGGTGGCCTCGTGGTCTGCTGAAGAGATCCTGACATCACTCGCGGTGTTCTTTTGTCTTGCTTAAGCCACTTCTTGTCTTCTTGTTCATGTTCTCTGTTTGCATTCTCTCTGTCTAATGGTAATGTTCAGCTGTGTTTGCCAGAATATGTTGGCAAACACAACTGAAAAACCCAGCACCGTCTAAATGATGATGTAATGTTGTGCCGTGGCGATGCTGGCGAATCCATGGGTGTCATTTGGCCAGCAGTTTCACAGTTTTCAAGAGGGAGCACAAGAAGTGCTATAGTGAATAAAAAGTAAATGTTTGAAATGTCATGAAGAGGGATGATGAGTCATGGCTGTTCACACCGAGGGAGGGAGAAATAGTGCCATTAAAAGAAAGGGGGCTTTATATCATTTTTTTCACCCATTATGATTTCAATAAGTATTTGTACAAATATTGATCACCTTGATCAAGTATTGATATAAAACAAGGTTTATAGTACCTGCTGAAGAGGGGAGAGAAGAAAAATCAGACTGACACCTTTCATCATCTACCCCATCGTTTTAGTCCTCTGAATTTCTACTGTGTCATCCGTTCTGTAAAAACCGTGTTTTAGGGGAAGAATACGGAAGACGTTTGTGATTCACCCTCTTCTGCAATACGAGGACAGACTATACACTACCACTTACATTAAATGTGCACACACTGGACCTTCACTGTATAGCCTATGGCAGGGGTATTCAACTCTTACCCTACGAGGTCTGGAGCCTGCTGGTTTTCTGTTCTACCTGATAATTAATTGCATCCGCCTGGTGTGCCAGGTCTAAATCAGTCCCTGATTAGAAGGGAACAATGAAAACAAGCAGTGGAACTGGCTTCGAGGTCCAGAGTTGAGTTTGAAGGGCCTGGGGATACTCCTTACAGTCAGCCTCAATGCACCACTATGACATTAATTTTCCCATTTCGCTCAGTCAGACGCTTGCACATGGTCTAATAGCATGAATAATTTCTCGCTTGATCAGATTTAATTCACTCCTGTGCTAAATCCCAAATCATCAATCCCTATCTCCTCCTCCATAGGCACTACTGTAGAACTGAAAGGACTGGATAGTTATAAGTAATGTAGGGAAATTCCAATTAACCAATCAGAAGACAGGGTGAAGCAATTACCATAATATCCATACCTATCCAATCCTAGAAGTGCCTAATGACAGGGCTAGCTATGGGTCAGTTTGAGATTCAGCATTGGTGTCAGAGCATCACCTAGGCAGGGCAACAGCGGCACCAATGGAGCATGTTTTTCAGCGGTGCTGTGAACTATGATCTGTTATTATTGTTGTTTTGCTTCTATGGGGTACCTGTTCGCAGCTCTGCTAAGTGAATATTTGAAAGTGCTGCCACTGAGCTGTGAGCGCCATAGTGTCTACATAAAGGATGCTGATATGATTTTGGTGGAACATGACAGAAAACAATGAATATTATTACTACTGTATCATTATTACCATGATTATTCTCAATCATTTAAGGAATTGTTTGCCATTTGTTTTTTATTTCAGAATTTTTATTTTAATTTTTTTATTAAAGGCTAAATGAATTAACCTAAATTATGTGGTAATAGATGCTGCTTTTCGTGTTCTTTCTGCTAAGTCTCGCATCCACGGACGGAAGCTAAGTTATTCTGGCAGTTGACAAGATAAAGTATCCAAACATGGTCTCAGATGATTTCTTGTCAGAAGCGCAAAGTGCAATTTCTTTATCAACAGTTAAATTTGATTTGCACAGTAGCCAGTCAGATGTTTTAATCAAGATCACATCATGATTCACCATTTGGGTCTTAGTGCCACTGACACATTTATACCTATTTTGCTCCTCTGTGGGACAGTGAGTGACTTTTGAAAAGGACAGTCACACATAAAAGCAGGAAGCATTTGCAGTCACGGGACAGAGAGAGGTATTTTAGTGAAGTGAAAAACATGGCTGAACAGTTGTACTTTATTTCTCATGGTATTTGAAAACAGTTAATAACATTAAAACATTGAGTTAGGTCTTAGGTACTAATTTACAAGCCTGTACATACAGTATCTGAAATTCACAACAGTTTTGATTAAAAGTAAGTGGCCCACATCCAAATATCCTTCAATATATACAAACATAAAAAAAACATTTTCAAGTCACATTCAAGGTCTGTAGTTTTTTCGGTGTGTCTTACAGGAATTAGTGTTTTAGTACAGGAAGCTTTTAGGAAAAAAGGTTAAGGTCCATCCTGGGCAGTGCATCCTCCTCTGGTCAAAGCAGACCTTGACATTAGTTGGGACACAAGCGTGTGCCTGCCACTGCTGTGTCTGCTGTTGTGTGTGTTACAGAGAAAAGACAGGAGAATGGACAGTGGGACAGTTAAGCACATGTCACTACATATATCACTGTGATTAGAGTATGCATACATATCTACAATAGCAACCCCCCAATGAGGATCATTTGAGGCTATTGGAAATCTTACTCTGTATGGCGGTTGCTCGTTCTGTTGTAGGCCTACCAGTCGTCCAGGAGTTGGTCTGCTCACCTGGTCGCAGCATCTCTCTACGGTGATGCTTGTTGAGTCGCCGGGTGAAACGATGCCACCTGGTGGGGAAATAAGCATTCAATCACTGTCCCTCTGTCCAAGTCCAGTTCTAAACACCACCAATTGTCTCTTAGCCCCAACCCCTAGACATATTAGTTTACCCCTAGGGGAAGGGGATAGGGGTTGAATTTAGATGAGAATATACATTTTCAAAAAATTCTAACTAAGTCCAGAACCCTTGGTGTATCACCTTTCCTGTGTGTCATTGTGCCTGTTCACCCTCTCCGCCTCCTCCTTCTTCTCATCCATCCATCGCTCCAGAAGCTCTTCTTTCTCTCTCCAGGCCGCTGCAAGCCCCTCCCTCAGCTCCCGCTGCTCCAACCGCAGGGCTGCCAACTCCTTTGATTGGCTCTCCAATGCAAACTCAAACTCTGATAGGCTGGCCTGCAGAACATTGGCCCCCCTGGCTTGAGTGACAGCTTCCTTCCGATAGCGGGAGACTCTTATAGAAGATGGTGACATGGGTCTATGTAAGCTTATATCAGACAAGACATTAGACAAGCTCACAACTTATGATGCCTCAGTTTCATGCCTCTCATCTTTGTATAACATTTCATGGATGCATTATTAAACCATATAGACTACTGTACCATAACATTAATGTATAAACAGATCTCATTGATTGATCACTTACTGTGAGTGGCAGTATTGAAGCTCAGCGTCTTTCAGGTACAGGACTGTGGTCAGGTCAGAGACTGTCTGAGAGAGCTGGGGATGAAGAAGAGGACAAAAGGAGAAGATTGTACTAGTAAGAGCAGGTCAAAAATAAGATAAACAATCACTCACTTGTGTACAAGGCCACTATGTGAGTAATCTATGTAAGGACTGGGGTTGCCCGAAGCAGCACAAGACATCAGAGAATCCAACTGACAGGATGACGTAGATCCTTAATGTAGCAGCATCACACACAACTCCCTTTTCACAACCTGTGGAAAAGTGCACAATAATCTTGAAAAGTGTGACTGGATCCAGTAATATAACTGAAAGTCACCTTTTCTGTTATATGTTCACTCTCTCTGAGCTGGAGGTGTAGTTCTCTGTGGTCAACCATCAGCCCACCATCTCCTTCAGAACTGTGGAAAATATTGACATATGGTTAGAGAATAGTCTTCAAATCAAAAATGAATTGAATTGTAGATAAATTGATCTTTCCAAATCAATGTTACATTGTTTGCATTAAATGGATTGCAACACATTTGCAAAATTCAGCATCTTCTCTAGGTGTTGCCATTGCCCTCCTACCTGGGTCTCTGTAACTCATCCCAAAGTGTATCCCGTAAGTCAAGCTGCTCTGCTAGCTTGGACACTGAAAGGAGAATCACAATATGTTGGCAAATATGTTGACAAACAACTAATGATTCAAATGTCATCAATACACAGAGAACTCCGACAACTTACAAGTGTTGAAGATACCACTGAAGGGGTCCTTTTGTGTACAATCTCTCTGGAACAGTCTAGTGCGCACGTGACTCTTCCACCTTTCCATTGCTGTCTTTACTCTGAAGTTTTCAACGCCTTGTTCGAGGTTGCGATTGTTGTTAACACACTTTTAAAACTTAAAATTGGCAACAAACCTTGTCAGTGCTTACAAGTCTTCACAATGAACACACGGTCTGCCACGACACAACAAAACGTTCTACTGAGAACAGACCAGTCTGTCGCTTCACTTTTTTGTGATCTTTTTGTCCCTCCACACTTCCCATACAATTCAAAATGAGGTGGCAAAACAGATAGCACTGACCAAAACAAAATAGCTATTTGCCTGAGCGTCAGTTTATACAGCAATACAAATTAGCAGATGTTGCCGTTTCAGCTCATTTTGCTGTTGTACCAGGTCGTTCTGTCTTTGTTTTACCAGCTATATACTATTATCTCAAATTCACACACGAATGTATCAACTAATCTTCGCTAGCTAGTTAACCTTAGCTACGCTGATGAATGATTGCTTGCAGTTCTGTGCTCACAAACTTCAACAGGACTGAGAGATGGCAAATTACAGACTGCGAGCGTTGGAGGATGCAGAGACCGAGATTGTACGGTGTGCACAGTGTTGCCAACTCCTCAGTAAGGAAAGTAGCTATTAGCTGTCCTAAAAGTCGCTAGATGACGTCATCATCTAATTTGCATAATTTGCCATGTGCATGTAATTGTGATGGATGCTGTATGAGAGAGGAATAACGTCGTGGGAGAGACAAAAAGTGAGTAAAAAACACCCTAAATATGTTTAGAACTACAAATGAACTTTCTTCTGTCGATTCTTGTTTTTAAAAATGTTTTACATTTACATCCCGCCCTGAATGTAAGCCAGGGCGGGACCAGCCAGCGGCGGCTTCCCGCATGCGCGATTAATTTGCAGTCTGGACGCGGAGGGGTGAACATCTCCTGCTCTGACTGCTGCGTGAGGACTGGGCCGCCTGTGAGTGCTTAGGGACGGGGGTGGGGCCCACGGGGGTGGGGCCCACGGGGGTGGGGCCCACGGGGGTGGGGCCCACGAGGGTGGGACCCACGGCAGCACCCGCTGCTCGTTGAGAAGAGTAAGAACGATACGTGCTTTCACGTCAGAGTCTCCAAAAGTCTCCAATAACTACAGAAAAAGTCGCTAGATTTGTCGCTAGTCGCTTTTTTGAAAATGTGTTGCTAGAGGGGTCTGAATACTCGCTAAATATAGCGACAAAGTCGCTAAGTTGGCAACACTGGACCGTGTGCAGGTCAGAGCAGAAGCAATGCTTCTCGTGGCAGGCTCAGCTGCGACGAGATGCTTCTTCTTCGATGAGGTTTAACGGTGGTTGGCATCCAATAAATGTTGCATTACCGCCACCTACTAGACTGAAGTATAACTCCCTTATACTTTGCTTTAAAAAATAAAACAAATACCCTACCATCTAATACTACACTAAAATATATATATATATATAATAATAATAACTACCATACTCCACTATTGAAATCTAATTATTCCTACTTCAGGCCAACAGCCTGAAGGGATGGGACACCACCAATTAACACACCCTGTAACTCTTCTGATGTCAAGTCTCGCACACCCAAATACCTCTCTGCAGCTGCCACCATAACCTTTATTTTCTGCGACTTACGTTCCATCCCTGCAGTACAGTTGATAACCATTGCTATAAATGCCAAAAATCCAATCTTACTGAAACATGTATATCACTTGTTGGTTTATCCCTCTGTACTTGGTACAGATCTACTACTCACACCATTCCTCTCAGGATCCCTCCCCCTTGACCCATCTTTCTCTACTTTCTTCATTGCCTCAGCATATGACAACTTCTGCACTACTCTAACCCTGGAAACCTCAACCTGCCTCTCACACCGGACATTTCGGATCCCCAACCCCATGGGCACCCCTACAATTAACACATACCACTACTTTCCCCAATGCTACACATTCCTTTGTCTCATGCCCTTCTGCACACTTCTCACACCTAGGAACCTCCATCCCACACACTGCTGCCACATGCCCACAAGCTGTAACAACATAATGTATTCAGCACAAAAGCTCGTACCGGATAACTTATTTATCCTAACATCACTTTGACGGGCAAAGACTCAACATCAAAACTCAAAAGAACAGAAAATGACTCTTCTGTTTCTCCACTCACGCCACCCTGTCTGCGTCACACCAAACGACGAGCATCACAAACACCGGGAATCTTCCCCTTCAGTTGGTCAGCTTTCACATTTACCGCTACCCCAGTAATCAGACCATTCAATGGCATCCTTTTCTTAAGAGCAAAACAATTCACATTTCTTTCCCCCATTCGTTTAACACGGAACGCCTGCTCCCTCTGACCAGCAGAAACAAAAACAATTATCACTAGACCACTTCTGGTTACCCTCACCGATTTCACAGCACCCAACTCTGTTTTCACCCACCCTGAAACCACAAATAGATCAGCCAAAAGGGTCCACTTTTTCCAAAAACTTAATTTCTACTGTCACAGACTCATCTTTATCCTGACCCTCGGTGCAAACCTCGGGCACGGAGAACTTCACCACACCTACCACCTCCGATACTTCGCCATCATTCACTTCCATTTCTCCTTCTTTCTTCAACTCACTCTGTTTACACTTTCTACCATTCTTCTTTAACAAACATCTCTCTTGTTCCTGCCATTTTTAACTGGCAGGACTCAAGCTCACCCTCTTCCTCCCTCTTTCTCTTAGACCTCCTCTGCCTCTCTTTTTCCCTCCATTCCTCCTCCTTATTCCAAGTATAACTTAGCGAGCAGGCCTTCCTAATTGACCTGGCCCAGGTATCCTGGATGGATATCGATCTCATTCCATCAGTAGAGGATGCCTGGTTGTTCTTTAAAAGTAATTTCCTCTCAATCTTAAATAAACATGCCCCATTCAAAAAATACAGAACTAAGAACAGATATTGCCCCTGGTTCTCCTCAGACTTGACTGCCCTTGACCAGCACAAAAACATCCTGTGGCGTACTGCATTAGCATCGAATAGCCCCCGCGATATGCAAATTTTCAGGGAAGTTAGGAACCAATATACACAAGCAGTTAGGAAAGCAAAGGCTAGCTTTTTCAAACAGAAATTTGCATCCTGTAGCAATAACTCCAAAAAGTTTTGGGACACTAAAGTCCATGGAGAATAAGAGCACCTCCTCCCAGCTGCCCACTGCACTGAGGCTAGGAAACACTATCACCACCGATAAATCTACAATAATCGAGAATTTCAACAAGCATTTTGCTATGGCTGGCCATGCTTTCCACCTGGCTTCCACTACCCCGACCACCAGCTCTTTACCCTCCGCTGCAACTTGCCCATGCCCCCCCCCCCGCTTCTCCTTCACACAAATTCAGACAGCTGATGTTCTGAAAGAGCTGCAAAATCTGGACCCCTACAAATCATCTGGGCTAGACAATCTGGACCCTTTCTTTCTAAAACTAGCCGCCGAAATTGTCGCAACCCCTATTACTAGCCTGTTCAACCTCTGTTTCGTAACGTCTGAGATCCCCAGAGATTGGAAAGCTGCTGCGGCCATCCCCCTCTTCAAAGGGGGTGACACTCTAGATCCAAACTGTTACAGACCTACAGTGGGGGAAAAAAGTATTTAGTCAGCCACCAATTGTGCAAGTTCTCCCACTTAAAAAGATGAGAGAGGCCTGTAATTTTCATCATAGGTACACGTCAACTATGACAGACAAAATGAGAGAAAAAAAATCCAGAAAATCACATTGTAGGATTTTTAATGAATTTATTTGCAAATTATGGTGGAAAATAAGTATTTGGTCAATAACAAAAGTTTCTCAATACTTTGTTATATACCCTTTGTTGGCAATGACACAGGTCAAACGTTTTCTGTAAGTCTTCACAAGGGTTTCACACACTGTTGCTGGTATTTTGGCCCATTCCTCCATGCAGATCTCCTCTAGAGCAGTGATGTTTTGGGGCTGTCGCTGGGCAACACGGACTTTCAACTCCCTCCAAAGTTTTTCTATGGGGTTGAGATCTGGAGACTGGCTAGGCCAATCCAGGACCTTGAAATGCTTCTTCGTTGCCCGGGCGGTGTGTTTGGGATCATTGTCATGCTGAAAGACCCAGCCACGTTTCATCTTCAATGCCCTTGCTGATGAAAGGAGGTTTTCACTCAAAATCTCACGATACATGGCCCCATTCATTCTTACCTTTACACGGATCAGTCGTCCTGGTCCCTTTGCAGAAAAACAGCCCCAAAGCATGATGTTTCCACCCCCTTGCTTCACAGTAGGTATGGTGTTCTTTGGATGCAACTCAGCATTCTTTGTCCTCCAAACACGACGAGTTGAGTTTTTACCAAAAAGTTATATTTTGGTTTCATCTGACCATATGACATTCTCCCAATCCTCTTCTGGATCATCCAAATGCACTCTAGCAAACTTCAGACGGGCCTGGACATGTACTGGCTTAAGCAGGGGGACACGTCTGGCACTGCAGGATTTGAGTCCCTGGCGGCGTAGTGTGTTACTGATGGTAGGCTTTGTTACTTTGGTCTCAGCTCTCTGCAGGTCATTCACTAGGTCCCCCCGTGTGGTTCTGGGATTTTTGCTCACCGTTCTTGTGATCATTTTGACCCCACGGGGTGAGATCTTGCGTGGAGCCCCAGATCGAGGGAGATTATCAGTGGTATTGTATGTCTTCCATTTCCTAATAATTGCTCCCACAGTTGATTTCTTCAAACCAAGCTGCTTACCTATTGCAGATTCAGTCTTCCCAGCCTGGTGCAGGTCTACAATTTTGTTTCTGGTGTCCTTTGACAGCTCTTTGGTCTTGGCCATAGTGGAGTTTGGAGTGTGAATGTTTGAGGTTGTGGACAGGTGTCTTTTATACTGATAACAAGTTCAAACAGGTGCCATTAATACAGGTAACGAGTGGAGGACAGAGGAGCCTCTTAAAGAAGAAGTTACAGGTCTGTGAGAGCCAGAAATCTTGCTTGTTTGTAGGTGACCAAATACTTATTTTCCACCATAATT